TAGGTATAGTTTATGTATGTAATGAAAAACCTTTCGTCAAAATTTGTGGCATGAAATACACGCAAGGACGATCTGAAAATTTATGGTTATTATATACGTTTGTAAAAGGAGACCCATTTAATTTTAGAACTACAGTATTTTATGAGATATAATGTAGTATACACATCAACTGTGTAAATGTATTACGCCTCGGAAGGGTTGAAACCTGTCCAAACTATCATATATATTATTAAAACGTAAATGGGGGTTTTTCACATTCTGAATCAACCAGTCGACGGATTTTCATTATTTTTGTGTTGAAAGAAAGATAATTTTGAGAACTAGGGAATGTCAAAGCCATAATTATAATTAAGGGTCCCAGTTTTTTTAGAAATTAAGTTTTAATTTTTAAAAAGTCTAGCAGACGACGCTAACCTTCTTAAGCTAGCTTTTAGTACAATATAATTTGCTTAACATAACAGCTGTAAACATTCAGCATTAGTGATACAAATTCAGCATTTGGAAACAAATTTAAAGGCATATTTAGAGTTGACCTATTTATACTATGTGTAATGCTGACCATTGATACATTCAATTCTTAGGTATGAGGATGGCAGATTAATTAAATATGCATAGTAAAATAGTAGGATGTTCAAATGATTTTTTAAAGGAATCTTTGTTCTCATTGATTTGTTTTAGTCCCATATAATTTTTTTTACTAACAGCTGGTTGAATGTAATATTGTTCTATATAACTATTAGGTTTTTGGCGAATTTCCCATATAGGGAATAAGCTATTACCGTAGTACTTATGGTAACACCTGGACCCGGGACCGATTAAATTTTTCGTTTTGAGGTCCCTAGAGGCCAAAAACACCATCCGTTCAAATTCATATATACAGGGTGATCAACTCAAGGAGGCCACCATTGGGAAATCGGAAACGGTAAGAATTAGAGAAAACTTTAAATGGGGGACATTCCTTTATTTTTTGTGGCAGTTAAAAATATGATTTTAGTTTTTTTATCATGTTTTTGGATAGAATATGCAATTTAAAAACTTTTTTAGCCTTGACCTTTTTTCGATAAACCCACTCGTTTAGGAGTACAGCCTATGGAAAAATTACTTCCGTTGTACATTTTACATCATGTAGCTCCTAAACGAGTAAGTTTAGAGCAAAATTGCAAAAAGTAAATTAGTCTTAGAATTGCATCTACATTCCTTAAAGACTAAAAAACAACAAGTTTTCCACTTTTCAAGTTTGCCGCCATTTGTTAAATAATATAATTCATATTTTTAATGAATTTTATGGTCTTTTTATTGATTCTATAAGCATTGGTAGGATTGCAAAGTACTACACAAACATTATTTCAAGGGTAATAACAGTCACAATTTCCGCTGACTTTAAAAGAGTCAACTAAAATATTATACTAATGGACACACAACTAAATGGAACAACTAATGGAAATACACACGATGTACATATAACAGTTCGATATAAGCATTGAGTATACACGTCAGTAGATACGTGTATACCCAATGATATAAGCAACGGTTCTTGCAATTTATTGTTTATTGTTTTTTAGAGTTGTTTCGGACTTACTCACACTCGCATAAGGTTGTCCACGTTTGTCAATGATAATGTAGACATGTTACACCCGTTGTCACGAATATGTTTACAAGTTTTCCGTCTGTTTTTGAATAGCGATACATTTTTTCACATACTTAAGAACCACCTGATTTCGTGCATTACATGTTCGTCTCAATTTTATTTGCTTTAGTAGGCATTCTTTTGGTTGATGAGGACTTCAATAGGTCCTTTGCTCATGAAATATATTACTTAATTAATTTTTATTGTTTGGTAAAATGGATTAAATTATCCAGCAACCCCAAATAGAAATAGTAAATATAGTATTTCAAAAAAATCAGTAACATGTTAATAATGTAGCCTACATTATTTCCTTGAATTGCATAACAGCAATTAATTGAGCTGATCCTTATATAAATAAATCAATATGTTCTTCATAGGCATAACATGGGTTCTTTAAGAGCCACTGGGGCTGAGCCCAAGGGATTTTAAAACGTAAGGTTGGTTTGCAAATGTACGTGACACGCTCTTTCTAATGGGACATGAATGGTCAAAATCGCCTAAGAAATGCGGAAGAGTTCAACGGAAAAATTTCGTGTTGGCGTTACAGTATGGTTGAAAAGTCCTGGATTGGCTATATTTTTTTAACAATATAGATAAAGTAGTGAGACTTGGTATATCAATAATAGCCATAAATATCTACTGTCTTAAGCTATTATCACTTTTTTATCCTTTAAGGGGGGTGGACCACAAAGACTAAGACAAAATTTTTATATAATTTTAATACTATTTTACCTGTTTTTGAAATGGCGACCATACAAATGTATGCATTTTAAGCCAAGTATGAATGGAGATGAGTGTGTGATGAGTGGGCTGTAGGCGGAAAAATACGAACAAACTAAACTATTTATTAACAAAACTTTTTTTGTGTTGAAATTTGAAGACAATGGTCTCAAACTCTACACCGCATAATGCTAATTCATAATGGTTATTATATCTATGATCGATAATGTAGCCATGTTGCTTTGAAATGGCGACCATACAAATGTATGCATTTTAAGCCAAGTATGAATGGAGATGAGTGTGGGATGAGTGGAGCGATCTTGTTGTCCTGTTTGTGACTAAGGCCGACATAATCCTTAGACACAGCTGTTAATTAATAGTGCATACAGTCAATTAATAGCAGCAGAGGTCAAGTTTGGTATCAAATTAAATGTTTTATTCATAAAAATACATTGCCGCAAACCCAAACTCAAACGATGATGATGATAAGTCGCTAAAACGTATCGTTTGAAATTTAACCGCTGAAAATAAGTGAAATAAAAAAGGTTTTGGTTAAATCCATCAAATTGTAATTGGACACTAGTAAATACTAGTGAACTTGTTGCTACCTCCCCCCTTCGGTTTCATGTATTCCTCTCAATCAGTTCAAACCTAGGAGGATTAAACATTAATGTTAATTAATGTTAAATCCTCCTAGATTCAAACCTGAAACACCCAGATCGAAACTCGCCTGTTGTTATTTTACCATCGCCTTTTTTAAATATATTTTTCAAAAAAGAAATATTATATTGATTTACTTTGGATTTTAAAAATGTTAACGTTTTATTTTGTTAAAGATTTATGTTGATACGTAAATATTGTGGTGTAGTAAAGTATATTATAATGTAGTTAAGTGTTAAATTTTGAAATTTTAGTGTGAATCGAGATGAATCTTTGTTTATAACATGCGTCTCTCCTACCTTAACATACATACCAAGTTTCATAAACATCGGTTGGAAAAGTGCAAAGATAAATATTTGTATGTAAAAAATACAAAATGGTGGATATCTGGTTAACAAAATGATTTTGGAAAAAACGTTAGCCTTGATTTTCTGTTTATTTTGACCCAAGGAATTACTAGGTAAAGTATCTCCCCGCTTATTTTAACACCCTGTTTATGATGTATTCTTATAAGTGAAAAATGTAAGCTGGTAATAAAGAAAGATGTTTTATAAATAATATGAATGTACTGGTGATCTGTATATTCATGTTTTTCTTGTCCTTAGAACTATAATTTAAAAGTCCACTCAGCAGTCGCATCGTACGATGTAGTTCTTTCCATGCGTTGCAAAATGCTAAATTTGCCGTCCTCTTCAACCCAAGTTATCTACTGAACCACTGATTGTAAAAAATTAAAAAAAAATATATTTTACGCATCACACTTTTGGCTACAACTTTGCCACAGACAAAACCTCTCTAACCCAAAAACAAAAAAAAATCTCGCATGCTAACTTTTTCATGTTAGAAATCACGATTTAAAACTATTTCACCATACAAATCAATTTTTATTAATTAGATCGGTAAATAGTTTAAAGTTCCAACAAAATAGTCATCGAGTAGGACTAACCAAAAAGCTTTGTGCCAAATTTCAAAATTTTAGCACAACTTTAAGTACACCAAAACACGAAATTATTGAAGTTGTGCGTCGAGAGGACTATCGTTGTTTTTAACAGATTATACTTTTGACCTTCCGGCACTGTTGACTCAGCGAAACTGAACTTATATTTTATCTTATTTCGTTATATTAAAACTGCTGTTGCATTAGGTCAAATTCCCAATAAGTCAATTGCTTTAACATAGACTACGTTTTTAGCCCGGACTGTACTATTTGACTTACTGGGATTTTTGATCTACAGACACTGCAAACATTGTAGTTTTTGACCTAGCGGCACAGGTATAAATTATTTGACCTTCCGGGACTGTTGACTTTCTGCAACGCGTCCGTATTATGCTGGAGAAAGTAAAAATTTAGTTTGGTTTAAAATTGGCGTAGCTTATTCTACAGAAAACAGTAATTTACATGCACTCTCAGACTCAATCCAATTTCATTACCTACTTTCAAAAATTCATAACTGGCTTCAGCTATTAAAAAGAAAATGAAATGTTTTAATAGTCTAAGCTACAAGCTAGCAATCTGTCTTAGCTCCTGGAGCAGGCATATTTATGGAATTTGTTATTTTAATATTTAATAGTTCCAAAAAAGGAACATTCAGTGTTAAGTTACTCTTCAAATTAATTATTAAGCAATTCTGGAAAAAATTGTCTGTTTTTTAATTAGGATCCACTGTTTAGGAAGTCAAAAAAACTCATTCCTTTCATTTCATGCAAAAGTGAATTTTCCAAGACAAAAGTACAAGAATGAATTTTCCTATTTTAAAAGACATCATCAGGATACAAAACCACATCATCAATGCAATTGATTCACAGTCCAACTGAGCCCCTGACTCACCATAATTTAAACTTAAGTTCCTGCTGACTTTAAATAAATTTGTTGGCACTTACTTACTATACAGGGTAAGGGTATCTAGGACAGGTGCAATATCAAATAAAAACATGCATGCAAATTATTTGCAGGCATTAGTCCAACCAATCTAAACATATTGTTCAATTTCAGGAAGGACTAGTTTATGCAGTGGAATTTTCTCACCGATCAGGACGAGACTTGTTGAATGTAGCCAAGAAACGAACCAACATCATCCCTATCATAGAGGATGCTCGGCACCCACACAAGTATCGCATGTTGGTGGGAATGGTGGACACAATCTTTGCTGATGTGGCACAACCTGATCAGGCGAGAATAGTCGCCATCAACGCTCATAGTTTTCTAAAGAACGAAGGTCACTTTGTGATTTCAATCAAGGTTTGTGTGTTTGTAGATTCCATAAAGAGTCCAGTTTCTATACAGGCTTAAATGTATGAAATAATCATCATTTACTCAGACTTGTTAAAGTTTGCAAAGCAACTCTATGAAGAGCATGCAAAGTCCTCTCATCCACATGGGTAAGCGACGCAATTGTGTGACAGATATCCCTGTAGACCGCTAAAGAGAATTCAGGGCATTCAAATCTATAAGCGTTTTGATAACATTGGACCGCCGATGCAAATATGTGGCTTTAGTCTATTATAATGTGACTAGCCGCCACATATATGCCACGGCAGTCTATGGGTAGGAACCGGCCGTTGCATATGTGTCGCTGGTCCATATGAATTAAACATTTTGTACTATTGCGGTAGCGAACGTGTTAAAGCATTTTGTCAGCTGTTTCAACTAAACAAGTTGATTCTATGATATCATAGGAAAAATAATTAAATATAGACCGTCAGCTGTGCTGCGGTTACCATAGATTCTGGTGCACAATGCTGGGAGTGCCATGTAGTTACGGCCTACGCGCTACGTAACTACACGGCGTTCCCAGCAGTGTGGGCTAGAACTTATGGTAACCACTGCACGGTTGATAGTCTATATTTAATTCTTTTTGTCTATGATGATATTCAATAGCTTTAAAAAGTTAAAAGGTGTACCCCAACAGGGTATTAATTTTTTTATTATTTTTCTTCAGCACCATTAATTTTCTTTAAATTATGACAACAGCTTATTTGAACTAAGCAGCAACAAACTTTTTTCTATTGTTTACTGTTTACTTTACTTTTCCATTAAATGGCGACCATACAAAGTATGAATGGAGATTTGTGTAGAATGAGTGGCGCGATCTTGTAGTCTTGTTGGTGACTAAGGCGGACTTATTCCTTAGACACAGCTGTTACTTAATAGCCCATACAGCTAAAAAGGGACCTACAGTTTATAGTGGTATCTGAACCACATTTTTCCTTGGTATATACGAATTGGTCTAATTTCCAGGATAGTACTGTGGATAGTTTAGATGCAGTGGTAGAATATTAGGGCTGTGATAGATGTGTTTATTCTATAGCATACTGTAAATTTAAAGAAATTGTCCCTCTCCATTGCAAACGCAAAGCACAAGTATAACTGCAATAAGCATTTTATACTTATACGCCAAACACCCGTACGAAGGACGGGTACTCCGCTAGTTTTATCATAAAGAAAAGCTAATTGGTTTGTTTGACATTTTTTGAAAAGGAATAGAGTATAGCTAGCCCACCTGAGAATACACATTATGTCTACCTGAAAATACCTGAGTAGTACAGAAGCGATGAAATATCAGTATTAGCAATTTTCTCAGGTAAGCTAGCTGAAATATATTCCTTTTCCAAAAATTAAATAACGTATACAATTTAATTTATTATAAATCGTTTCAGGCCAATTGCATTGATTCAACAGCACAACCTGAAGCAGTATTTGCCGGGGAGGTGAAAAAACTGCAGTCAGAGAAGTTCAAACCTCAAGAACAGCTGACATTAGAACCATACGAGAGAGATCACGCTGTAGTCGTTGGAATCTACAGGCCACCTCCCAAGAACGAGTAGAATAATCAATGAAAACTGAACTTCCTTTTAATTTGTCTTTTCGAACATCAAATAAGACATTTATTTTTAAATGTAGAACTGTTTACTAGAACTTTTAGTTTTATTGATTCCTGTTAAATAATTAAATGACTTTTTTATAAACCTATTTTTATTTTCACCACATGTCTATAAAAATTGTTTACTGAAGAGAAAATGGCTTTTCTCAATACTAGTGATGGTCGGATCCGGATATTGGACTACCGGATCCGAGCTAGAACTGGCACCCGATCGGATCCAAAAAATTCCGGATCTTGGGCTGGATCCGATTTTTCCCTAATTTTTTACTAACACAAAGCTGTCTGTATCCATGCACAAGACTGATTATGTCCCGATTTTTTTACTAACACAAAGCTGTCTGTATCCATGTACGAGAAGACTATCTGCGTAAAAGACTCATTTTAAATAAGGCAAATTTAAATCAGCAGCAAGTTTTATTATATCCAAACTACTTAAATGGTTTTTCTGGAAGTCTTTCAATTATTTCCTATGAGTACATTTTTTTTACTTTCTGGGGAGAAAGTATAGGGGGCTATATCATCTTACTAATATAATATTATAAATGTGAAAGTTTGTGTGTGTGTTGCTCAATCACGCATTTATCTACTGGACGGATTGGGCTTAAATTTGGCATGATGATACCTCACATTCACAATAAACATATAGGTGTATTCTTATCTCAAAAATCCTTTCGGGCTCCGCCCCAGTGGCTCTGTAGTTCCCCACGTTAACCTTATGAGTAATCACATTTAAAGGGAATTAAAGAATTTAGTCAGCTGTTTCAACTAAAATAGTTGGTTTTTTGATATGAAAAAGCATTAAAAAGTTCGGGGCTGTGCGAATCCAGAAATTTTTGTTCGAATCCGAATCATAGTTGTACAGATTTTATCGAATCCGAATATTTTAATTAATCCCGAGTCGAATCTGGGTTGAATCCGAATCTCAAATTTACAGCCATTATCGAATCCGAATCTGAAATTTAAAGCTGTTATCGAATCCGAATATTTAAACCTGTTCAGAGTCTAATCCAAAACCGAGGAAAGTCAGCAGTACCAATTTCCACATTTTTAGACCACATTTTCTGGGGCTGAAATAACTTAGGGAATTGCTTAAAAAAATTCTTGAAATGGGCCAAATAAAAAAGTTATAAAATTTAGGCCTACCTATTTGAAGTTTTGAAATAGGTTAAGTTGGCATAAGTTAGGCATACCACCTAGGCCTAAGTTACTCGCTAAAAGTGATGGACTACCAATTTGTGTAGTCTAAAACATAGGCCCAGCCTATTATACACCTCTGTGTTAATCCTCCACACAAGCCTATGTCTGCATTACTATTACAAGTAACAACTAACACTGTGAGGTTAAGTTTACTGATAGCCAAGATAGGGTTCAAATGCGACCTACACTAATGTGCCTAAAACCTAACACCAAGTTGGTCAGGTTCCTAACATGAACCAGTCAACAGCAAATCGGAGTGCACAAGTAGTTTTTTAGTGTCTAAAAAATTATATTGAAAATTATATTCAATCAGAATCTAGTAAATTTGAATATCGAATCCCAACTCGGATCTATTTCCAAGAAATTCGAATATCGAATCCGAACCCGGATCTCTTACCAGTAAATTCGAATATCGATTCCGAATCCAGTTAGAAACAGTAGATTCGTTCTCGAATCCGAATCGAATCAAAGATTCGGATTTGATTCGTTTTTCGAACTATTCGCACAGCCCTGAAAAAGTTATAAGATTTACCACCAGGGCGAAACACTATTATTTTTTTTGTATTTATGAAAACAGCTAGGTAGGTACTTTGAACTAAGCAGCAACAAAAACTGTTATACGCAATGAGACCTGAAAAGTAGGATTATTTAAAGTTATGTTTTTGTTTTTAATTTCATGAATAATTTGTGATATTTTGCGAATTAATTTATTTTTTTCTGTTGTTTTGGTGAAGTGGTAGAACATTATGGCTAAACTGTGGCCTCCCCCATTGCAAACGCAAAGCTCGAGTATAACCGCAATAAGCATTTTATACTCATATGCCAACCCCCTACGAAGTACGGGTACTCTGCTAGTAGTATATGTATGGAGAAAGTATTGTTTTCGTCAAAATTTTCGAGTTTGAGTGGATATATTCGTTTTGGGTCCCCCGGGACCCAAAAAAGTGGTTTTCGAAGTGATGTCTGTGTGTGTGTGTGTGTGTGTGTCTGGATGTGTACAGAGCTAGGGACTACACCTGTGGTCCAATTTTGATAAAATTTGGTATGTAGGTTCTCATACATGGTATCTCCAGGCCTTTTTTTTAATTTTTTTGAAATTTTGATTTTTAATGGGGATTTTCCCATAAAAAACAGCAAAAATTTATTTTCTAAAAAAGGGCCCGAACGATTTTGATAAAAATTTAGTATGTTTTGTAGCCCTTTCAGTTCTGAACAAAATGGTACAAATCCCATTACTGTAAAAATTACGGTTCAAAAGTTATTGTAAATTATGTTATTTTCCCATAAAACAAAAAAAATAGAATTTTAGAACGAAAAATCCGGTTTTTATTTAACATAGTATGTTACGGTCCTTACAATTTTGATAGCTTTTATCATTTTTTATAAATTTAGATTTTTAATTGGGATTTTCCCATAAAACCCCATAAAATAACGGAAAAATAGGATTTTCATAAAAATGGCCCAAACGATTTTGATAAAAATTTAATATGTTATAGTCCTTTATATTCTGAACAAAATTATACAAATCCTATTTCTGTAAAAATTACGGTTCAAAAGTTATTGTTAATTATGGGAAAATCAGATTTTCCCATTAATGGCCCGATCTTGTTGACATGTTTATGTTTTACAAATTCACTTCTATTAAACATTTTTCTAAAATTAATTGATTATTATTACGTGAAATGAAATAAAAAATGGTTTCTACTGAAAAATATTTATTAAATATGTACACAATACACAGAAATGGTGGAAGGCTAACTTAAACATTTTAATACAGAGAAAGAACAGGCACTTAATAAATTGAGTTTAAAATCAATATACAACATAGTGACTGAGTAAATTAAAAAAAATAAAACTAATTATCTTTTAAAGCTTGTTGAGTTCTAATGACTTAACTAATCAATCCTTGTCTCTTGCATCTAACCTTGGACATTAATGCAATGGAATTATTTGTCACTATTAGAGATACTGCATTGAACCATTGGGTAATAGCATGAGAACCATTTTATAAATCCACTTTGTATTGATGTTGTGGCTATCTCACTTCAATTGTTTTTAAACTTGATTGCCATACAGTTGGATCCATTGTAACTATGTACACTTGAAGTGGAATTCATCAGTGGTGGAGTAAGCATGTCCTTCACTGCATAAATACTCCAAAATTTTCCTGTAAACAAATGTATCTTGAGTCATTTTGGTTGTAAAGTAATAAGTATCAAACAATTCTGAATAAGAATATAAATAATGATTGGCAGTAATGTATTTGTAGATTGGTCTTGCATGTTAAAGAAATTGCAAATACTACATCAATGTAAATTAATAAATCATTTTTGTCTTTTTTCAAACAGTTACCAAAGAGTGTGCTGAATTTGGTAATTTTAGGACTATTTTTGTCTTAATGTCAAAAAACAATGTACAGGGTGTTTACAAAAGAATGCCGGGATTATGGTAACTGCTTGTGTACTATTCAAGGTAACTAAACGTTTTATGTGTCATATTGAAGTTAAAATAGCTAAGTTTTGTTAACCGAGTTCCAGTTACAGTGGTAGCAAAACGGGAGTGCCGATGGAGACCTGTGGGGGTGCGTGCGTTTGAAGGGACTTGACCTGGTCTCCATCGGCACTCCCGTTTTGCTACCACTGTAGGAAACATTGACGTTGCATGCGCAAAACAGGTACAGGGTGGTAGGACACCATTGTGACTCACACGCCTGCTTGACACCAGTCAGCAGTAAGATTTTTACGGCGCAAAAGAAGGCATAGAGTGTAATCTGTGGTTTGCAGAGTTTATATTTATTGCTAAATTAAACTAAATTTAAATCTACTTGATGGTAAAGAAATTTGATGGTGGTTTAATGCGTTTTGTGGCTTTGTAGTGTTTTGAAAGGACATTCACGTGGCTGGCTAAAAACAAATGATAACTAGGTCGAAGGAAGATTTGCTACCGTTCATCCCTACACTGTAGTTTGTAAAGGAAAAAAAATCCTTTTTTAAAACAAATTTACTCTATGGCTTAAAATCCTTTCAAATTCAAATCAGTATTCCCCTAGTAAGATTGGTGACATGTGGACACCTAAATAAAACATTCAAGTGTCTTTGAATTGCGTCTTTAAAAGTAGTCATTCTAGGAATTCTGAAACATTCTGTATATACGTCCGTGAACACTATAACTTCAGTAATTTTTGTACCATTTTGATGACATTTTGGTTTAAAGGTATAAGGCAAGATAAACTTGAATGAGTTCGCAAACCAGCATGATCGGACTATGGGAAAGGGGTTTTATGGGGTAAAAATTGGTTTTTCCTATTTTTGGAAAAAAAAAAACATAAAATGTAGCAATTTCTTTCCTAAGTATTTTTTAGAGCTTAAAAAACAAATAATTTAGTATATTGAAGCGTTATTATGCGCCTAATGGTTACGGAGAAAATTCGAAACAATTGTAATTAAAAATTCCCATGTTATTCTTATGCAGAATAAGTAAACAGTTGTAGTTTGCTTGTTTATGAACATATTTTGTTCAAATCTGGAAGATGTATATATTTCTTACAAAACTATTAGATTTTTATAAATAAAACCACTTTTTTACCCTCCCTGTTGCAACAAACCTAAGTCTAAACATAAGTCTAAGCATTAAACTAATTCTAGCCATTTTATTAGGGAATGAATGTGATATTTATAAGGAGATATTTTAGTGTAAATTCAATCAGGCAAAGGAAATTTGCTTAGTCTGCAGGTTTGCTGTGGTGGGGGTATTTTTATTGAAATGTTGATAGCTTAGTATGAAATAAACATAATTGCCTAATTTGATTAAAATCTTAAGAAAAACAAGCAAACTACAACAGTTTATTTATTCACAATAAAAATAACATGGGAATTTTAAATTTAAATTTTTTTGAATTATCTCCGTAACCTTTAGGCATACAACAAAGCTTCAAAATTATTATAACACAATTTATTTTTTTAAACTCTACAAAATTATTTGGAAAGAAATTGTAAAATTTGGGTTTTTGGGTCAAAAATGGAAAAAACCAATTTTTACGCCATAAAACCCAGATCATGCTGGTTCGCGAACTCGTTAGAATAAACGTAGGTTTACACGCTAGTACCAAATCTCATCAAAATTGGATCGTTTTTGCTTGAGTTATTGCACTAACGGACACACATACACACACACACACACACAAAAATATTCATATTTATATATGAATTTGAACGGAGGGTGTTTTTAGTCTCTGGGGACCTCAAAATGCAGAAGTAAATAGGTAAATAGGGTCTAGGTCTTACCATGAGACCTACGGTGATAGCTTATTCCCTATATGGGAAATTCGCTAATAACATGAAATTTTAAAAGATGAATGTTAATGTTATAACACACAACTTAGTAAAAGAGAAATAACTGGTACAGTATATATCTATAGTAGGCTATTCGATAGAAAATAAATAAAAAATAAATACTTACTCTAGTTCTTTTTTGGGTATTTTAACTGTCATGGCTTCCATGATGGTATCAATATGGGTCCCACCTTCTCCTGAATCACAACTTTGCTGTGAAAAAAATTACATGTAAACAAAACATTTATAGATGGTTGATTATTTTATAAAGCACTCAAATATATTTTTCCTGCAGTCACCCGACAAAGTTGGCTTCCTTGCACTCATTATAGTACAGAAAGCTGCTAATTGCTGCATTTACCTAGTTTGTCGCACGATTTATACTTTGGCGCACACCAGTATTCCAACCAAACAGCGTGGTGTCATTATGCACGTAATACGTGTACGCTTAGAAATAGGTTGGCAATACTTAAAGATAATATTACTATGATCAGCTGATTGACTATTATAATAACTACGATTTATCCTGTCATTTTGTGTTTATATTCTATTTTCGTTCAACGTTTGGTTTGAACACAACCTATAACATAAGTTAGAACCTATAACTATATGAAATAATAATTATAAGTGGAAAGTGGGCCTAACATGTTTCAAATTAATGAACTCAGTGAAAGTGATTGTGAATATATATGTGCACACCAGAAGAAATAGCAGAAACTGCAAAACATGTTTCATTAAACCTGTTACCTGAAAAATCGAGAAAGAAGTATGAACGAGCATACAAACTGTTTTCTTCCTGGTGCGTAGGTAAGAAAGTTACAAAATTGTCAGAAAATGTTTTATTGGCATTAAATTTTGCAGAACATCAACAGTGATTAAGTCTTCAACTATTTGGAGCATTTATTCTATGCTAAAGAAAATAATCAAAGTTAAACATAAGCAATTACAAAAAACTTATAGCCTTTTTGAAAAAATTGTCCGTAGGCTATGAGCCTAAAAAGTTGATGACATTTTCCAAAGATGAGGTTGATACCTTTATTAAAACTGCTCCCGATGAAACTTACTTAATGAAGAAGGTAGTGTTAATATTAGGAATAGCTGGTGCATGTCAGCGATACAAGCTAGCTAAAATGGCATGACATAAATTGTAAATGGTAAAGGTTCAATTTTAATAGTTAAAATCCCAGATTCAAAAACCAACAGAAGCCGCGTCTTCACTGTAACAGACGACGATAATCTTGATATCAGTTATTTGGAATTGTACAGGAAATACCTTAAATTGAGACATTCAGGTGTACCCAACAGTAGATTATTTATGAAGTATGCTAAAGGTGTTTGTATTAGACTAACTGTAGATGTTAATAAAATGGCTAAAATCCCAACTGAAAAAGCTACATTTTTAAATCTGCCTAACCCCAAAAGGTACACTGGACACTGTTTTAGACACACTTCAGCAACATTGTTGAAGCAGGAGGAAACATGTTACGAGCGAAAATAATTAAAAGAAAACATAATTTTTATCACACAATGCATTGGACTGCTAGATTAAAGAAATGCCAACTCGAGAAATGTATTACTGTTTTTTATTTTATTCATAATCTTTCACTTTTTCTTAAGAAAAAACGTTTATTTTCTATTTATCATATTCATACAAAGTATTACTACAGGTAATAGATTGTAGTAGTTTGGTTCCTGACAACGTAATATGGGTATTGTAGGGAATGAAATTAAAAAAGCCAAGTAAACATGATATTTTTTCTCATAATCATCCCCTGCAACACTGGCGACACAGGTGATCGCCCTTTCAGTTAATCGATGTTTTGGATGACAGGGCTTTACTGTATTTATTAACATATTGGGAGGGTTGGTTTAATACCTGGAGTTTTCCAGGATGTGTCAAGGTAATAAAATTCCTGTAAAATTCCCGTTTTTCTGGAATTCCCAGCTAGTAGATACCGTATTATACCATTCACTCATCCTATAGTAACATGTATAAACCATATCATTTTGTGCAGTTTATTTTCATTTTAACTTAAGTTTTTAAGAGTCTGGATGAATTTTTTTTATAAATTTAGGGTCAAGTTTACAGTGTAAGCTATCTTTTTCTTAACAAACACTTAGAGGCCTGGCAATAATTTTAAATAAACAAAAATAATTTAAACAGATTGTTATATTTGGCTTGGATAATTTTATGATTAGTGGAATAACGAGAATTTAATCATAAACATCAAGTCAAACATTTCATCAAATAGACGACATAAACACAGTCTTCTCTAAAGTGTTATGATTATATTTAATTTTAATAAAACTAATTTAAGTATTTTTAGCAAAGCATATTTTGAGTAAACACATAGTAGGTCATCTTACCGACAGTGCTCTCAACACTCTTTGCTGAACGGGTGTTAGAGTCTTAAACAAGTCGTTATTCTCAATTGAAGAATTGTTCATCATTCCTTGAGGCATTGAAGTAGTCTCCATCGGTGCACTTATCTGAAAATTTCCATTATGTATTAAAATCACTTGATAATCATACTGTTAACACATGTAGTAGGTTGTACAGTGTTCAAGACAAATTAAGTTAATCAGCTGTTATTCTGTTTACAGTTAGGTTGTTTGAGAATAATATTTCTTTTTAGAGCCAAGCTGATCTACTTTTTAAACATCTTGAGTTTTCAATGTTTTCCAGCTTAATGTTTTTGATAGGTATTAAATGGTTACGTTCCCTAGTAAAGTATCGATTATCCAAGTTGAAGAGGCTGAGGTAAGGTGTGTTAAGCGGACAGGTTGGATGAAAAGGAGAATGGAAAAAAAAAACACTTGTAAATATATAAAATCTGTTAAATTAAGTTGCCTATTTAAACCACTAACCCAAACAGTTTCTGGGCCATCAACATACAAATTTACAGACAATGTTAAATGTTAAAAAATTAAAGAAAAAAGATACACCCGTCTACTCAGCCACAGGTCTCTACTAAGACGTGAGGGGTAGCTGAGGCTGAGAGGTAGGCAGATATTAGGAGTTGACAAGACGAATGGTATGCAGAGCACTAGAACAGTCCACTCAGCCACAGGTCTCTACTAAGACGTGAGGCGTAGCTGAGGCTGAGAGGTAGGCAGATATTAGGAGTTGACAAGATGAATGGTATGCAGAGCACTAGAACAGTCCACTCAGCCACAGGTCTCTACTAAGACGTGAGGGGTAGCTGAGGCTGAGAGGTAGGCAGATATTAGGAGTTGACAAGATGAATGGTATGCAGAGCACTAGAACAGTCCACTCAGCCACAGGTCTCTACTAAGACGTGAGGGGTAGCTGAGGCTGAGAGGTAGGCAGATATTAGGAGTTGACAAGACGAATGGTATGCAGAGCACTAGAACAGTCCACTCAGCCACAGATCTCTACTAAGACGTGAGGGGTAGCTGAGGCTGAGAGGTAGGCAGATATTAGGAGTTGACAAGACGAATGGTATGCAGAGCACTAGAACAGTCCACTCAGCCACAGATCTCTACTAAGACGTGAGGGGTAGCTGAGGCTGAGAGGTAGGCAGATATTAGGAGTTGACAAGACGAATGGTATGCAGAGCACTAGAACAGTCCACTCAGCCACAGATCTCTACTAAGACGTGAGGCGTAGCTGAGGCTGAGAGGTAGGCAGATATTAGGAGTTGACAAGACGAATGGTATGCAGAGCACTAGAACAGTCCACTCAGCCACAGATCTCTACTAAGACGTGAGGCGTAGCTGAGGCTGAGAGGTAGGCAGATATTAGGAGTTGACAAGACGAATGGTATGCAGAGCACTAGAACAGTCCACTCAGCCACAGGTCTCTACTAAGACGTGAGGCGTAGCTGAGGCTGAGAGGTAGGCAGATATTAGGAGTTGACAAGACGAATGGTATGCAGAGCACTAGAACAGTCCACTCAGCCACAGATCTCTACTAAGACGTGAGGGGTAGCTGAGGCTGAGAGGTAGGCAGATATTAGGAGTTGACAAGACGAATGGTATGCAGAGCACTAGAACAGTCCACTCAGCCACAGATCTCTACTAAGACGTGAGGCGTAGCTGAGGCTGAGAGGTAGGCAGATATTAGGAGTTGACAAGACGAATGGTATGCAGAGCACTAGAACAGTCCACTCAGCCACAGATCTCTACTAAGACGTGAGGCGTAGCTGAGGCTGAGAGGTAGGCAGATATTAGGAGTTGACAAGACGAATGGTATGCAGAGCACTAGAACAGTCCACTCAGCCACAGGTCTCTACTAAGACGTGAGGGGTAGCTGAGGCTGAGAGGTAGGCAGATATTAGGAGTTGACAAGACGAATGGTATGCAGAGCACTAGAACAGTCCACTCAGCCACAGATCTCTACTAAGACGTGAGGCGTAGCTGAGGCTGAGAGGTAGGCAGATATTAGGAGTTGACAAGACGAATGGTATGCAGAGCACTAGAACAGTCCACTCAGCCACAGGTCTCTACTAAGACGTGAGGCGTAGCTGAGGCTGAGAGGTAGGCAGATATTAGGAGTTGACAAGACGAATGGTATGCAGAGCACTAGAACAAGTAGTAAAATGTGTCTAAAGCCTTGTGCATGTCTTCCTCGTACACAGTTTTTGTCTCAACGTGCTTGCGATAGACATACCGCAAGGAAAGGGTACACTTACTCATTCATAATATGTATTATTAACAAACAAGGCCTGCTAAAAAAACCAGGCCTAATATTTTAGGCCTAACTAGTAAAAAAGTGGATTTTCATAAAATTAAAAATGATATAGGGTAATATAATTTGGGTTTTGAGGTAATGGTCTAAATAAATCTTTGAACATGCAAAGCATTAATCATAAGTTGAATGTTACCGTCTGATTGAGCATATCCGACTTGAGGGACATGTGGATAATCTGGAGACAGTGTGCTGTGACTTGGTTGAGATCTTCTACAGGAAAGATCTGAAATACCATGATGTGACGTTCACTGTGTTGCGTGGACACGTTACGGATTGACCCGACCATCGTACAGTACGTGTTCTCTACAACTGGCACCGTGAAGTTGTCATCCTGCAGAACACATGATTAAATAAACGGTATCAGCAATCTGACACATACTTTCTCCCATTAGCTTGTGAATAATTTTTATCATGGGTAAGGGGTGGGAGTAAATATAATGTTTTATAGTGAAAATGTTAAAACTTGCAATAACTTTTAAACCGTAATATTGTTTCAGCAATGGGGCGTTGCACAATTTTTTTAGAATTGTAAGGACGATAACACATAAACTTAAAACCCCCAGTCTATGAGACCCCATTTGAAAATAATGGACCCCGCCTAGAAATACCCAAACTCAAACCCTGGGCCTGTGAAACCCTTCTTTAAAATACATTAACACTGGGCTTATGAGACGGACATGTTATGAACAGACAACCTGTCAAGGTCACGGCACCCACGCAAAATGAACAAACAATATATCAACAGATAGGGGAGGAAAAGGGGGGAAGGTATTGGGGGAATGGAATCCCCCAAATAAACAGTGTTGCCAACATGCGTTTGTGAAAATTCCTGTGTGCCTGTCAGACCGGGGTTTTGGTAAAAGCTAGGGGTGTGCGAATACTCGAATCCTCGAGCTTTTTGGTCGAGCTTTTCATTATTCGGCTCGGCTCGAGATATTTTGAAAAAGCTCGAAGTTCGAGCCGAGCTTTTAATACTAAGTCAAAACAGTTAATTTGGGTCATAATTGAAAACAATGTTATCACAATTCTACGTTGTTCATGCATTCGAGGTTTATGATTAGCACAAACCTCAGCTCAGTCAAGACGCAATGATTATCGATAGTAATTTTGAGGAGATAGGAAAGAGACAAACGACCACCTATCGCGTTGTCTTTCTAACAGCTATTCGTATCGTAATATACAACGCAGTGCAAGTGCGTGATTGGCTTGTCGCTATGACGACACACGGTTGCCGTGACAACCTACAGTGCGCACTGAGCACTGCGCCTTGTGTGGGAGGGGAGATTATACCTACAAACAATTTCAGGAATTCTATTTTGGGACGGATGAAAGATAAGGAAGAAACAAAAAGTGGTCACGTGTGCAAATGTAGTCGGCGACACAATAAGGCTGTAAACGAGTATCGTCGTGTCTTTGTTCCTTGTTTGTTTACTTTTTCAGATTCCTTATCAAACGCCCCTATCTGCTATCTCTCTCTCTCTCTCGCTCTAACAATGTACTGATTAAACAGATTGTGGTTGAAAACTTTTCTACTTATAAGTTTCCCTGCAGTTATTTTAGTTCAATCAATCCTATAACCTTTCTAATGTTTATCAAAATAATTAATTATCTGTTTTGTATTTTATTTCCTTTAAACCAACCCATATTTACCATATGTATTTTATAGAATAAAATGTTTGTTTATAAAGTTTGACTGGCCACACAATTTTGTAACTTTTTTTATTTTGTATAAAGTAACAGTTACCTTGATGATTATATGTATCAATAAGTGGTGCGTGCTGTAGTGAATGCTTTTTATTATCAAAATAAGTAATGAATTATTAATTTTTGATAATAATACATGGGTCATTGAATACCATAATGTGATGTAGTTTCCTATTTGTAACTTGCAAATAGTAATAATTGATAGTTAATTCTGGAAAATGAAAAATAGTGAACGCATTCATAAACCTGTTGTCACGCGGGTGTAAGGGTTTAACTTATTGTTTCAGAGGCTAGGGTGTTTCAAGGACAAAGTGTTGGGCCTCCCGGTTTAGGGGGGAGGGGTGGTGGTGAGACTGCAAGAAGGGGAGGAAACTGGTTTTGGCTATTTATTGATTAGTTGCCGACCCTTCTAGATAACAAAATTGAGTGACAGTGTTGATTCATAGTGTCTTTGTTTCATTTCTTCTTTACTTTGTGTGTTATTCTATTAATTTTAGTGTTTAGGTCTATTTCCTCCATATGTCAATTATATATTTTTTAATATATAAGTTTACTTTTTACTTGTCTCTCCACCTTTTTGGATCCAAACCAACTACCTATGTTCTTTTTTGATTAATACGATTGATAAAACTAAAATATTTTGTGCATGGAAAACAACAAGAATAATCACGTGTTTTTAAATTTATTTTGTATTTATTTATACAAAATAGAATTAAATATTCATAGTAGTAGTTACAATATACATAATAATGTAATCCAGGGTGTCTACTACATTCTGGATAAAAAATTCATGGACAATTCCCGTACATTTAAGGACACTTTGCCGTAACCTTTGTCGGTGTCATTAGGCCTACCGAATAATTTTCCTGATTTGTCAAACTGTATTAATCTTGTTATTCACTGTAGTTGTACCAGAAAAAAGTAAATAATAATAGATAAGAGTTAACAATTACAAAATAGAAATTTATTGAAAGTAAACAAACATAGGCCTACCTATACTTTAGGTAAAGCTTTTATAGTGTAACAGAGAAACGCAATCATTTTCTCCTGCGATAGCGACAAATATCTCCATCCGTCACGTAAACTTCATAACATAGCTTATCCGATCCAGGCTGATTAATTTGGCATGATTCGCCCTGGCACAACGTTAGGTTCTTGATTACTTTTGAAAAAAAATCTTTAATGCATATTGTTACTCAATTCTTAGTACAAAATCAAGGTATGGTAAGCGGCTATTAATAAGCAATAAGCACAGATAAGATTATTGTATTTTCATTTGCAAAGTTAATATCGACACATAGCAATCATTAGTTTATCTTAGGCTCAATTACATTTTCTTAATATATTTTACAGCTCTTTCAAGAATCAAAATACCCAGGCCTAAACCTAATTATTTAGGAGGGCCTATATAAACTGAGTAACAAACAATGAGGTTATAATAGCAGCAAAATCACTATCATTATTCTAGTTCATACGATTTTGATTGCTTAAGGCATACAACTCAATAAATAAATATATGGGAAACAAAAAACATTGAAACCTGAATGCCAACAATATAAGACAAAGATACAGAAAATCCAATGACATAATTTGAAACCAAGCAGGCCTACATAGTGATAAAACATTAATGCAAACAACAATGCTTGTGGTTTTGTCAATTGAAAGATAAAATGTCCATAAAAAAGGGTTTAAATTACAAAATAAGACTGTAGATTATTTACATGTTTAATATGAAACCATAAACAGTTTTATGGCACTAGGCACTGGCCGCGGCATATTGAATCTTCAAGCCGAAAGTGCAAGTAAGAAGCGAAATTTAACAGCCATTATAAAGCTATTATTTTCACGATAAAATAGGTTTGGGATCTAATAATAATTATCCTAGTAATAAAAAAAGAAGTTGTAAAGGAATAAAAGTGATACAACTTTTATGAGCTAGCTGCTGAGTCAACAGTTCTTGGAAGTACTTGACTTGACACTTGATTGTCGTGATAAAATATTAATGGGTTTGAGATTGTTAATGGGATTTTTATTGCATAATTACTCTAGTAATAAATTATGAAAATGTAAACAAACATCTGATAAACCTTTTATGTGCTCCTAACCAACTAGCGATCAATAAAATTATGGCCCATTAAAAATTTAAGGACATAGTCTGGCATTTAAGGACAATTCCCGTACATTTCATGGCCAGTAAAAATTTAAGTACAATTCCCGGATTTCCCGGTTGGTAGACACCCTGTAATCGTCTTGCAATTTGTTTTGTCGTCATTCAAGGTCGCGTTGCTGTTCTGTTATGAAAGACAATCTGATTGTCTCGGTCTGCACTGCATATCTCGTCAGGCCTTCAATTATCCTTTTATTTCTTGTATCTTAATTTAGTTCAGTTCAGTTCTTATCGTGATTATCTACTATTTGATGTCTTGACAATTCTCAATGTTTTTAAACATATTAAAATAACATTGTGTTTATTTAAAAATTGACTGAACATTATTATTATGCACTTTTTTAAGAAAAAAAGTTTAATAATTTAGAAAAGGTGACGCTAGAAAAAGCTCGGCTCGAAAAAGCTCGAGCTCGAAAATTTTTGAAAAAGCTCGGCTCGGCTCGGCTCGAGGTTGAAAATCACTATTCGCACACCCCTAGTAAAAGCGTTAAAGGACCATAACATACAAATTTAAATCAAAACCGCCTTTTTTTCTAAAATTTGATTTATTATTACAAAGGCCTATTAGGCCTATATAGTTTTTTTAATGGAAAAATAACATAAGTTACAATAACTTTTGAACCGTAATTTTTTACAAAAATGAGATTTGTACCGTATTGTGATATGGCAATTGTTTATGGCAAAGGATTTAAAGGACTATAACATACTAAATTTCTATCAAAATAGTTGGGACCATTTTTGATAAATCTTGATTTTTCAGTTTATTATAGGAATAACACCATTAACAATACAATTTAAAAAAAATTATAAAAACGTGTGTGAATCAATGTTTAAGTGCCTACATACCAAATTTCATCAAAATTGAACTACAGGTACGTGGTCTTTAGCTCTGAACACATCCACACACGCACACAGATATCACTTTGAAAACTACTTTTTTGGGTCCAGGGGAACCCACTTCGAAAACCACTTTTTTGGGTCCAGGGGAACCCAAAACCCGGATATATCCACTCAAAAGTCAAACTTGAACATTTTGACAAAAACATTACTTTCTCCATATACTATGGTATATGGGGAGAAAGTAAAAATTGATTAGTAGGCTAAATTAAGAGTTTACACTGTAAGATTCCTTTTTTCACCCGTCTTACTCCCACTCAAACGATTTAGCAGTTTTATAGCTTATATTTTAGTGCAGGAACTAGAATAAATTAACTCATTGCTGACATAAATTATTTTATTTAGTTTCAATAAGTTTGACTTAGATAATGATAATGCAATGGATTTTATTGATTTTGTGGAATAAATTATCTAGGCTACAATTTAATTATATATAAAAATTGCTATAAAAGCTCACTTGCAATAACAACCCTTCATTGAACCACCTATAAAAGCAATAACTACTTGAAGACATGTTTTGTTTTAACATATTTGATTTTTATGCCTTTATTTTAGTGAAATATTTCATAACAGAAAACAGCTGAATATAAACTTAAACTTACATTCTCAGATTCAAGCCATTGTACTCCTTCAATAGCTCCAGTGTTGTCCTCGATGGTGTAAATTACCTTGATGTTTGACCTGTTTATCTTCTTTACAATTCCAATTAGCTTTACCTAAAACAGACAATTTATAACACCAAACAAGAGACATTATTGCTCAACATATCTAGGAACTGACGAGAAATTATTAATAGAAAGATAAACATAATGGAAAAACCCCTTCTGTTTACCATGTCTTTTTTCTTTCACTAAGGGTAGCCTACATTTCAAACCTCGGATGAACAGTTACTTACGGTTAGGTACCGCAAACTGAAACTCAGCACCTGATAACCTGGTAGCCCGTAACAAATTGTTACATTCCACAAACGGAAACTCACTAACAATAAATTATGAAATTAAATTAAATAATATTTTTCCCCATTAGTTAGCAGCAAACAATACTATCTGGATGACAAAAATTGTATGTTGTAGAAACAAAGTGAACAAAAATGTAAAAAAACCTTCAACAGTATAACAAAGGAAAAAGTCAACGTAGGCAGGGCCTGTGTAGACTTGAGTTGCGATAAAATTTATTTCAATGAGAGGTAAAAAAATGTAGGCTATAGGAAAATAAAAAAATACGTATAATTTCTTAGTTTTTAAAATTTTGTCTTGCTTGGAACTGAGTTTTCAGTGTTCTGGAATGAAACTAACGATAAAAAACTCTTTGTGCAAACTGAGGTAATTTATAAAACTCTGGTGAAGATTGATCAGCAAATAAAGTTAATTTTCCATCTGTTTGAATTTTAGAAATTTTAGAAATGGTATTATTAGTATAAATGAGGAATAGAGCAGGTCCAAGAGTCAATCCCTGGGACTCTTTGTTAACACGTTTGCTGCGAGCCACTTACCGGTGAGTGCTCTAGTGCCACGCTAAACACTCACCGGTGAGTGCCGGTATCGCCTACATTCCATTCAATTTCTGAGCAGTAGCACACCAGAATGAACGGGTATTTTTATGTCTGCGTTTAGCAAGGAATGGGTGCTTTATTGTGGTGTAGGTTGGTAGTAAATTTCCCTGTAAAATCCCCCTCTGGTATGCCTAGAACTCATGTTGTCTCGTTTTTTCTCCCTCCTATTAGCAATACAATGGGACCGACTGGTTCAAGACAGTGCTGCTATCTGTGGGTATTTCAGCAAACTACGTCGACTCGAGTCGTAACGCAGAACATCACCGCACGTCATTTGCTATTTGTCAGACCGAAATATTTAAAAGCCAAACGGATCCGATCGACGCTGCGCCACACCAGGGCTACGCTTACCACTTGGTGGGCCGCAGTGAACGTGTTAAAGAGGCGTTTTCCTGGAGACGTGATTAAACCCTATCACACAGTATTCTTTGTGCTCTGTGGTTGCCTGGGCCACCGATCTTTGAAAGCAATGAAGCCAACTGCACAGCCTGATTGGGAGCATTGCCTCCAGAACAGTCAGTTGTGAACCACACTACTAAAGTAGGCAATTACTTATTTATTAGTTTTGAATCTACCATACAGTTTATGCAATTACACAAGAGATGTTCATTAAAATTGGCAATAACTACGATTGAGATTGGCCTGTACAATTTGTATGGTAAGAGTGTGTTGCAACTGTTTATTTACAGAAGATTGAGAGACCAACATTATTATCTAATGCATTCTTGCCCCTTTGCGAAGCACAGGCAAAACAACTAGTTGATACTAATATCGAGAGAGATTTCAAGACACTATGTGTTCTATTATGACAGCTAAGTTATATTTTGAATTTGGTAAAATTTAAGATTACTCCAAAAATTTAATGTAAACTTTTGGGTAAACATGAATGAAAACTTACCATTTGTGCTTCAACATCAATTTGGCCGATTTTAAGTCCAGAGTCTTTACTTTCCAAAATCTGTCGCACCGTAACAGGAACAATACTGTCTGATCTCCTGACCTAGAAAATGGTTGATTTTAATAAGAATCAATTCTTTGCAACTTTCTTAATCATCTTCTTAACCCTTCCCAGACTAAAGGCGGATATACCCGCTAGCATTTTGTGCATAGCAGACGGTAGACGGATATATCTGCCTAACTTTTTGGGCTCCGCGGATGCCCAACACGATGGGATTATTATGACAGTTATTGTTATAGTTGATTGTCAGTACTTAATCTTCATAAAAGTGTCCTTTTATTCAGTTATATCTTTAACCGATATATTACAAATATTTTTCTAGAAATATAAGAAATTTTATAAAAAACAATAAGATACCGGTAATAGTAAGAATAAATAGTAAGAAAAAAATAATAAAAAAAGTATTAAAAAAATTATTTTGGACAAAAGTGATGCATAGGTCAACAATTAACAGCATTCTATAAATTAACTTATACGAGAGGTCGTCCAGTGGTCGAAACTCGACCAAAAATATGTAATGTACTCACTTAACTATTTTCACCCCACACTGTAAATAAAACATGTGATTGGAGTTTCCTCCATTTGTTTTGATTTTCTGTTTATATTTCGTTGTTATTTCGTAACCAGCATAGCAACGCATAAGATCCATGTTATTTTTTTACAACTTTTAAACTTATTTTTTGTGCTTATCTTTGAGCCTATTTAAATTTATAAAGGGATTCTGCACACCTACAGGAAAATAGCTTTCCAACGGTATGCGTAGATTTTCCCTACGATGCACACGAGCTGAGAAAAAAGGTTTTAAAGAAACATGCTTGCCTATTAATATATAGATAGATAGATACCGGTACATAAAAAAAATTCATTTCTATTTAAATAAAATAATGTTGCTGTCTGTATGCATACTAGGCATACAGGGAAGGGTTAATCAGAAGGGGATATAGAACCCTGATGCGTGTTACCTTTTTGTCACCCTGGGGCGTTTCTCCTGTTCCTCCAAAACCAGAAACATCAAAGCCTCCTCCACCCCCTTCATATCCACCATAGCCTGTGAAATAAAAGTGAATTAGCAACTAGGCCCATTCATAGTTGCATAATTTACAATTAGAGATCTTTTAAAATGTAAACAGCCAGAAGGTTTTGTATTTGCAGAAAAACTATAGATTACAATAAAAAAAGTAAATCCAGCACTAGATATGCTAACTAACTTAAAGAGCCCCAATTGTTATTAAGATGAGATTCCATTTGGTAACCATTTAAGACACAGACCTATACCTAAACACACTTCCCGTACTTCATGCTAACTTATGACATTGACTATACCTATATACCGTACCTATAGGTATATACAATGCCCAAGCACAATATGCATACTTGTTATACAATATGCAAGCAATTTTGATATTGTTATTTCGTTATTTCATTGTGTTTCACCCACTACAGTATTTCAATTGTGCAAAAACAGTCTGGAAGTAGCTTAAATTAATGAGTCTGTTCATTATAACCTAACCTTTAACTTACTTGATGTAACCTCACTTCAAAGGACTTAGTACAGTCACGAATTCGCATAAAGTCCGACCTATCTTCCTCACATGTCTTTTCTGACATAAAATGTGATTTAAAAATTGATATTAAGGTTGGGTTAGGTTAGGTTAGGTTAGATTAGATTAGCTGAGTAATGTAATATAAAAGGGCTTCAATAATAACTTCTTTACTGCAATACTTTATACTTTACTTTTATACTTTCTTATGAAATGGCGACCATACAATGTAGGTATTTTAAGCCAAGTATGAATGGAGATGAGTGTAGGATGAGTGGCGCGATCTTGTAGTCTTGTTAGTGACTAAGGCCGACATTCCTTAGACACAGCTGTTAATTAATAGCCCAAACAGCTAATGGCAACTAAGGGACCTACAGTTTATAGTGGAATCCGAACCACATTTTTCCTTGGTATATACGAATTGGTCTAATTATCAGGATAGTACTGCGGATAATATGTCTTGGAGCTAAAGAAAATATTGTTACCAAGCAGGGAATCTCTCATTGTTGGGGTTTCCTTATTACACATGTACCCTAATATCATTTATTAGTTGGTGATACATGAAATTATGCACTGTGGCACGTTTTCACTTTTAGGCACAATGGGATTATATGCACCATGGCACGTTCATTAACAGACCTAGAGGGTTGGAATGAGGACGATCATGTCGGCACTGCTAGCTTCTATTACTGGTATTTTACGAGAGTAAATTATATTTTTTATAATTTATGTTGATGTGATTAATAGTTTATGTATCGTAGTTAATTTATTGTACAAACAGCGCCTAAGTTAGGGCCTATTTGCTTTTTAAAAATCAAATTATAGCATATTGTAATTCTGATTTTGCTCTCATGTCATCGTGTGTGGTTTTGTCTGTTTAGTGCCGGATGTTAACAACTGACAGCTATTTCCACTTCACAAACATTCCTCCCCTTTCAGTGTTAGTCGCCACTAGAACTTGGACTCGTCCACCCCACAAATATGTGAATAACCCAAAAAAACTGAAGCTTGATATTAATTATTTAATTGTACGGCCACTTAGGAACCTCTCCGACAAATACTGATTGCATTTTTGGATTCAGCGTGAAAAAGACTGTAGGTAGACATAAAAATTACACGATATCGCGTTTGTAGACATATTAAATAATTACCAATCCGTTATTTTCGGCATATTGCTAACCTAAGCACGGGTTAGGTTGGGTTAGGTTAGGTTATATTTAGTTTGATAGAGGAGTGTAGTTACCAAACTAACTTAATAATCTAACCTAACCTTACATAACTTAATCCTAACCTGACCTAACCCATGCTTAGGTTAGCAATTCCCCAAGCCCAAAATGACAGATTTTTTTAAAACCAAGGTTAGGTTTTAAAAGTTAGGATTGGTTAGGTTAGGTTACTGTAGATTATATTATATTTGGTAAAATTGATTAAAATGTCCTAACTTAAATAATAGTAAAACATGTTAAAGTAGGCTACTTATAAAAAACACTGATTTTTAACACTTTTTGGCGATGTTTAATCGATTTTCAAGGTGAAATAGGCGTTTGCCCCAAAAGTGCAAAATGTAAAAAGTGTTAAAAATAGACCAAATCATGAGAAAACCCCATTTTTTTAAAAATTTGTTAGAAGCCCCTAAAGTAAACAAATACCGAAAAGCCAAACTAACTTAAATCAGAAAAGAAAAACCCATAATTTATAATAATATATAGGCCTACATATATTGCAGGTTCTCTGCAAAATTGTAGACAAGACACATAATTTAGTAAAGTTAGGTACCGATATCCTAGACCAACGGCTTCTCTAAGTTATCAGGTACCTAAGTTACTGTAATGAAGAAATTTTAATGGCCGTAAAGTTTCTCAACTGGACTAACTTATGCTAGTAACGATTGAATAAATCGATTTGATTAGTAAACCTTCTTTCTTTTTGGGTACTGTTAAGTTACGCCTACTAATCAATATTTTAAAATATAATCTATAGGCTAATAAAATTAAACTATTAGGTATAACCTAACCTAACCAAACAAACTTGCTGATGGCGAATCGCATGAAGGTTTACTAATCGAATCGATAGTTTCAATCAATATTAGCGTAGCCCAGTTAAGAAACTGTACCCTTCTCTTTTTAACACGTTCGCGGCGGCATGGGAGCGATCGCTCCCACACGGAACCCTAATGCCATCCTGGTGGGTGTGTCCGCTCCCAAGCTGCAATGCAGTACGAAATTATTTATTTTTAAGCCAGGATTAGAGCTAGAAACTTGAAACCTCGTACAGCACTGCTCAATAGTATACTGTATTTTGTTGTGGTGTAGGTTGGTAGTATATTTCCCCGAAAATCCCCCTCTGGCAATCTCAAAATTCTACTTTTTGTCCCGCCTTTTTCCCTCCATTTGGCAATACAATTCCAATGGGACCGACTATGTTCCAAGCAGTGCTGCTATCTGTGAGTGTTTAGCGAACTACGTCGACTCTCGTCTTAAAGCAGGACATCCTCACACGTTATTTGCTACTCGTCAGACCGAAATTGGAAAGCCAGTCACACGCGGCAATCGGGTTTGTTTGACGCTGCGGGCTGCACCGCTATGGGGATACGCCCGCCATTTGACATGCCGCCGCGAACGTGTTAATAGGTATATCAATTAAGTTATAAAATAAAACTGTTATAACCTAACCAGACTTGCTGATAATAAAAAGGTCTAGTGAAGGTTTAGGCCTACTAATCGAATCGATATTTTCAATTGATAGTAGGCCCTAGCATAGTCCAGTTAAGAAACTGTACCCAGTTAATGAACTAAAAGATAACTTTATTAGCTTCCTACTTTCCTTGTTAAATTTCTTGAGAGGTTTACTTACCATCATCTCCATTACGAAACATTTTTAACTTGAAAAGAGTAGGTAACTAGGCCAAATCCAAACAAGATAGCCTAAGTAGGCCTAGCAGTGTTTTTAGCCCTCTATTAAAAAAAATAAAAAACTGCAAGATTACTGGTACATATGAGCAACAAATCGATGTTAAGTATTCTTACGAGATACTGAACTTTTTCCTAACAGAAATTATTTGTAACAACTCAAAAGTATGCAAAAGAGAAACGATCAAACAAGAAACCACTTTACTAGCTTAGCTTTAGCGTTGGTTGGCGCTTTTAGCTAGAGTAGAGATTCTGATTCTGATTCTCTCTATTCTGACTTTTTAAGGTTATGTTTGACAAACACACTGATCACTGATTCCCGCGTCTTTCTCTATAGAACTTGCGTCCAGTGGAACAGGAATCAAAGCGTTGTTTATTAAAAACTGCGATAGGCGTTTACGTGGGGTCCCAGATTATCGACATCCCAAAAGATCGACACTGAAATAGTCCCATATTGTCGACAACTCAAAGTATCGACAGTGTCGTTAATATGGGGGTCTGACTTAGGGGAGGTACGAATGAGGCATTTAGTTCAAAATTCCTCCGTGAACAGCGCTGTAGTAGAGAGCACTTTGGCAATGAAGGTTTACTAATCGCAAAAATAGTTCTGTTCATAAAATAAAATTTAAAATGTCTCAAATTCAATTTTATTATTTTTTAATTATAAAATTAAACTATCATAACCTAACCGAACTAACCAAACTTGCTGATAAAGAAATAATATAACAAAAGTTTAGTAATCGGAAAAATAATTCTGTTTATTAAATAAAACTAGAATTTGCTCAATTAAAATTTTATAATGACTTAATAATAAAATTAAACTGTAATAACCGAACCAAACTTGCTGATAATAAAAAAACTTGGGCAAAAAGTTAATGCTACCAGCAGGATTCGAATCCGGGACCTGCAGTATATCAGCCCGGCACGCTAACCATTAGACCACCGAGGCCGATGGCTACCGACCGTTTTGTTACGGTAATGGCTTTCCCTCAGCTAATAAGAAGCCCACAGCTGTCATCGTAGCCTCTTCTTTACCTCCCCTGAGTAAATACTTTAATATGGGATGTCTGTATAATGGAATGTCTACGAACCACTTTGCTGATTGACGTGAGCCAGCCCCTGTATTCTATTAATAGCACCAATGCTAATCACTAGCATAGCATAGATCGAAATCGAACATAATCCAAGTTTCATTGACGGTGGTCAATCACTAGCTCATGTTCTTCAAGTTATTTTTGTATTACTATTTACATCATTTGCTTATTGTTCAACTTGAACAGATTGTAAATTAAATAAAGTTAAAAAAAAAAAGTTTCATTGAATTATGTTTAGGGCAATAGAAAGTTTTTGAATGGTATAGTCTGTGTAACCCTTTTGTACTTAGCCAAACGGTTACATGGGGTTGCCATTATATGCCATTATCCTGTTCGGTAAATTGAAAAAAAGTACATGCCTTCATGATAGTGATAAACCAAATCAAACTCACTCGTCGGCCGAAGCGAAAATAAAAAGCCATGCTGCATGGAAACTTGCTTACTCTTACTTGTTTATGTTTAATGTTTACCCTAACCCTATGAGTGAGGTTATGATAAGCATAATTTTATCTTTAAATTATTTACATTTTCTGTGAAGTACTGTTAGAAAATAATAATGGGGAAGAAAGGCTACAACTGGAAAGCGCGACAAGTGGTTAATACTGTGGTTGAAAATAGCTCCAATTCAAAGGTAGGCTAGGTAACTTTAATTTGTAAGTTTATAGGTTAGTTTGTAAGTTTAATGGTTTAAGTTAATCGATTGTCTATTTTAAAAGTATTATAGTAGCCTACTCAAATGTTGTCTATTGTATCTTTTTAAATATGCAGCTTTTTCATAAAAATATGTTGCGCCTACATTCTCATAATAGGCTAGTCATAATCCGGTACACTAGAACAGTTTCATAAAATGTATCATTAACCCTAGATGGGTTGGGTATTGCACGTAAATTTGACGTGGTACCGGTACGAGTTATTTTTAGCGTTTCACCCCCCACCCCCTCAACCGACAATACCCTCCTTCCGGCAGTACTCTAAGCAGTCATTTGCCTTGGTTGGGTCGTAGTGTGTTTCTTTATGCACTTGATAGTCAGTTTCTTGGAACACATACGTCAAACTTACGAGTCAATACCCTTTGTGTATAGCAAAATGGCCGGCAGTACATAAAATTTACGATACCTTACTGTGCAATTCCTGTTCAATTCCTGCAATTCCTGTACCTTACTGTCCAATTCAAATTTACGTATTGATACCCTTAGCGTCATGCTGTATGACGATAAAACCTTTCTAGGGTTAACCTTAAATTGGGCGCATCACGGAAATTACCTCTGGGTTACAACATTTATCGTTATAAAACCATAGATTGCGTTCGGCAAGGCAATTAGCCACACCCTACGTAAATTATCTCTTTTGCGGAATTGGTTTCGGCTACTCTTTAAAACCCCTTTCCCAGTTGTCAGTCGACCTTGGGGAGTGGTTTGCGTTACCTACTACAGTTCAGCCAAAGTTACTGTGGCACGACCAGAACTGGTCTGGTCCCGGTGACGGGGTTGACAGGGGTAGGCCTACAAGCTACACATCCATATACCACAAGCTTTTTAGTATGTATGGGTTACAATTCCACATCTTCCCAGGGTACCTTCTGCATACCATCTAGGCATTAACTTAGTGGCTTTGTTGTTCACCTTTTTTAAGCTAAGTTATGTGTCTGTTTCCACAGTAGTTTCTTGTCCAGGACCACCCCTAGAAACTTCACTTCTGATTTCCATTCAAGCTCCTTCCCCTCCAGCTTGATGGTTCTCAGGTGGGCAAGATTTCTCTTCCTTGTGAATGGCACAAGTGAGGTTTTGTTCGGATTAACCGTCAACCCAGCGGACCTGTACCATTCCTTCGTTCAATTTAGCCCTCCTTGGATCAAGTCACAGAAGGTATTTTCAAACTTCCCTCTTGCAATTATGACTATCATCTGCATATCCGATACATCGCAAACCCTTCCTGGTTAACTTCCCAAGAAGTTCATCGACCACCAGACTCCAGAGAAGGGGGGACAGTACCTCGAGGACACCTCTTTTCGGTAACACTCATTTGAATAATTCTCTCTCCAATGTGTGTTTCCATTGTTCTTGTGGATAGCATATATATATGGTTAGAAGTGTTGAGGGTATCTCCTCTCAATAACCAGCAACACACATTTTGAGCAGGAAGATCTACAGATAGGCCTACTTCTTTATATTAATTGACAAATGATCAGGCAAGCACTGGATAGAAAATGAACTTTTTTTTTTTTTTTTAAAGAGGTTGGCGGCCTCTTTTAACCTTGCATTTGCCTGTCCACATAGACTAAGCGCCCGTGCGTGGATCGTTTACAGCAAAGCAAGGAGTGAGCCGGTACAGTACAAAGGTGAACTGTACTGATAAAATGTTATCGGCAGTGACCAGGATCCGAACCCACGACATCGCTGCCTTGGGCCCGAAGTCCGCGACGCTACCGACTGAGCCACCGGCTCACTAAACATTTGTAACTGCATTTAACATTGTAACTGCTATAAGTCTGTGCCTTTTTGGACATAAGCATTTGACAATAAACTTACCTCCCATTTGGCAATAAGGGAGGTGCAGGAAAAAAAAGGGGTTGATGGAATCATAAACAGGTGGATCAGTAATACACCTATAATTATATATATACAGGGTGAGTTTTAAATGAGTTCCCCCCCTACTTTTTTCTACATTTCTTAAGATATCAACTCCGGACCACGTCAGATCATTGTAGAGTAGTAAGTACTTAATTTTGACTGGGTATACATTTTTGGCCGCCATCTTGGATCCGCCATATTGGATAAAAAGTTGTTTTTTTTCAAATGTAAAGGTAGGGTTGTGACTCATTGTTTCAAACTACATTTTTACGCTGAAAACGATGCTGCAATCCGTTTAAAAAAATCTAGATCCATTCTAAAGTTATGATAACTTTTTATAAATGTATTTTTAGTCCATTTTAACATTGTGCATACCGGTACTAAGACCATAATCTCAAAATAATGCTAGATAAAGATAAGTATACACCACCATTATTTTCACTTGGTTATGATGGATGTATTTTTTTTTGCCGCCATTTTGAAATGTGAAATTATTTTAAATATAAAGGTGGTGTTGTGACCCATCATTTTGTACTACTTTTTTATGCTGAACTCAATGGGGAGCGAGCTGGCATAGTGGTTAGAGCGTGGGACTTTAGTCCCTGAGGTCCCAGGTTCGATCCCCGCCAAGTCACCAATGAATTTTATCTAGACCTAATTGATAATGCCGTCAACCCCTAAGTATAGCCTGAAGTAATGTGAAAAACAATCCCAGGCTCGTGCCTAGCGACCTCGGACCAAAAAAAAAAATCTACCATTAGGCCTATACTGTGGCATAATATTCTAGGTAGCATTTAACAGTAAATATGATTCTAGGTACAATTGGAACTGACAACGAAGAAAAATGAGCATTATGATGATTGTAACACACTTGTTATTCCATCAAAGAAAAGGAAAACAGTTAAAACTAAAACCAATGGACCTGTTGTGACAAAAGTTTTATCCAAAACTCAGAGGAAAAAATTGGAAAAAATAGTCGAACGGAAAAAGAAAAAAGAAAACGTAAGTACTTTGGAGCCATCTATCTATATAAATAAAATTAGAGTTTTGTCTGTACATTGCTAAGAATTATATATTTTTAGGCTATTTTTACGTTTTATACATTAAAGAAGCAGAAACAAGTCTTTTTTATATTTCTGTCTGTCTGTCTGTCTGTCTTTCTTTCAGTCTGTAACACTCAAGATGACATTTTATGCAATCTTCTTCATGAAAACGAGAGTACCTATCAAAATCCAAGTCATTTTAATGTATTCACTGGATTGGCGAGAGTGTCTTTAGCCATTAAAACATGGCCTCACTACTTTGTAAATAAAATTACGGACGTTCAAAAATGCAGTTTTGTGCGATTTTTGTCAAGATTTCGTTAATTTTTTATCACATAATCATCTATGAAATAACGAACAGCTGTTCGGATCAAGATTATTTTTTCTAGCTGTCACTGATATGTTTACAAATGTTGTTTACAAATACCGCAATCATTTCTGATCAAGTTTTGTAAAAGCAAATCCCAAACAAAGTGAGATTAAAAACGTTTTTCTTACATAACGGATTTAATTAATCGCAAGTGCAATATTTTAGTGTAACCGTAAATGAAATTAACCCTTAGAGTGCCAGGCGAGAAATAAAAGTAACGCTCAAAAAATGCCGATGATTTTTCCCGAAGGTCGCGCTAAAAATGCCGAGCGCGATCTGGCGATTTTTAGGTTAAAATTTCGTAAAAATCGAATTTTCGATATTTCGACCAACGAAAATCGATGTATCGCATCTAGCAACTTTCGACTCAATGTTAATATATGGGTTAAAAGAATCCGAGTATTTATTCGGTTGTTATGACAGCTGTTCGATCATTACGAAACGTCCGGTCAACCGGACGTTGGCACTTTTGGCTCGTTCTAAAAACGTCCGGTCGGCCGGACGTTGGCACTTTTGGCTCGTTTTAAAAACGTCCGGTTCCCCGGACGTTGGCACTCAAAGGGTTAAATAACTAGGCATCATTCAGGTCAGGAACCAAAGATTCTTTGTGTATAAAATTGTTCTTGAGTTTTGATAACCAGAAAGAAGACCTTGAATCAGTGTTGTATATGGCTGGGACACTTAATGATCGTCGCAAATAGTTTACAAACAAGGTTTCCACTCATTGACGGCTCTTCAATGGCGATTGTGTAAAGTGTAAAGTAAAAAAATCACAACTGCAGTGGGTGATTGTAATAGAGGTATACGGATTATGCTAAACTCGCTTTTCCAATGTGTCACTTTCTGTTTCTACTCACAGTGTGATGCAATCGCTGGACCATACAGCCAATAGGCCCATAGCCCATCTCTTGGGTACGTACGCCTACCAATTTATTCATAACAACCTTATCGATGACGATCCTTGATACCGGTACTTTTCCATGGAATACATGGCCTACCTACTTAAGAAAAAGTTACAAATGTCCAAAAACTCAACATTGTGTGATTTTTGTCACATTCAACTGAATACTATAAGATCCCTGTGCGTAGAACGGGCACACAGCTAGTCATATCTAAGAACTGTTAGGTTTCTATTAGGCTACATTTAATATAATTTATAACTTTCATTAGGTAGTTACCATTTGCAAGTTTTTATTCAATTAAAAAGTTTTAATATCATCTACGAATAAAACTTTATCATTCAAAATTCTATTTCTGATGGAAGCTGAAATATTTTTTTCAGCGCTCAACAATTTTAGAAGCTCTTTCCAAAGTACAAGCCCCTGAAGAATTGCTAAACAAACTAACAACAATAGCCTCTTTACAAACTAAAGGTTTGAAGCGGCATAATAATGAAGAACAAAAGGCAATCAATTCAATAGCTGGCAGCAGGAAAAAAAGGATGAAACTGTTGCAGGAAGAGGCTAAAGGACAAAGTTCTCTCCTGACAGATGACCCCAATATTGTTGGGTTTGATGTAAGTAGGAAATTAAAAAATTGTTCATCAATAAATAGTCTAAGTGGTGTGACGCTCGCGTCACAGCCGAATAAAGTATTCTGACTTAGAATGGTAGCACGCACAAGAAATCTCTGGATTTAATTGAGCCTCAAATCGATCCTACGAGCCTAGTACCTATTGCTACAGTGGGTAAATAAATATGACTAAGTGGGGTACGTGTAGAATGCACTTGCCTTTTACGACTTAGTTTTATGAATAAATCCTATACTTCTCATCAATTAAATGTTAAAACTTTGGGTAGGTCAGTTAAAATACTCAAGAATTATTTTATGTTTTATGTATTGAAGCAAGTGGAAAGGTGTGCTTACTAATTGTCGTAATTATAATAAATGGTCCAGGCTAATGGATCAGCTTGTTTTAGTTAGTAACAAAGCTATACAGGTAATCTCACTTCAATCTACTCCAACTCATTAAATTATGTTATATTAATAATCTGATACATTTTGCCAGTTTTCTTAAAGCATTACATAATATCGACAATGCTTAATCAGTTCTAATATCCCTAGAGCTAGGTAAAGCTTAAAAATGTCAATACTCATGAAACATTGCCATTACAACTTTTAATGACAAATCTTGTTTCATGTTTGATGATTAGCCATCAGACACAGATTCCAGTGCTGATGAAGATGTTGATATTAAAGAAGAGCCTGAGGACATTGATCAAGTAAAGGTAACTAACACGGAACTGCAAAAAGATTTAATAAACTCAAATGAAACCAAATCCGAAAATTTAAATAGTGTCACGATAGACATTACAGACGATAATGAAATAAACAATAAAGTAACACATGGGGATAATACTTTAAAGTTGAAAGAAGAGAAGGATAAGGTTATCAAAGTTGAAAGTGTCCCTTCAATTTTTATTCCTGTTAATCGAGATGAGAAAATTCAAGAAGGACGATTGAAACTGCCAATCCTTGGAGAGGAACAGGCTATCATGGAAGCCATCCGGGAAAATCCAATAGTCTTGTTGGCCGGAGAAACAGGCAGTGGGAAGACTACGCAGGTTCCACAGTTTTTGTATGAGGCTGGCTATGCAAGGTAAAGCATTTAGTTAGTCCATCAGTATTAGTTTCTTAGACAATATAACCAAATAATTCTCATAATTTGTTATTAAAGGAATAAAATGGTGTCATTGCAACAAAAATTTAGCTATGCTAGTTCTATTACAGATGTTGTAATTGGTCAAAAACTCTTTCATAGAGTAAACGGACCAACTAATGCCAAAGTTGTTGTTTACTTTGTATGTCTCTTTTAAATACTAGGTAAACTTTTAGTTTGTAGGTAACTTTTTGATAAAGTATTATTAGTGGCAAAAGTTAGTACTTTTATATTCAAACTTTGGTGAATTTCAAAGGATTTTTTAGCTGTCTTTGATTTAGAAGGGAAGCACGTTAAAAACTTCATAATTATTTTTAATATTGTTTTCTAGCAACAACAAGCTGATCGGAATAACGGAGCCGAGAAGGGTTGCGGCGATAGCTATGTCTAAGCGGGTTGGTCAGGAGCTGAATATGAGCGAAGATAAAGTCTCCTACCTGATAAGATTTGAAGGAAACACGACACCAAACACGCAAATCAAGTTTATGACGGACGGTGTACTCTTGAAAGAACTGCAGACTGTATGAACTTTTTTACCCATTTATAAAGTTTTGTAATATGCCTACCTAGATAATGTTTATTTTCCTTAGCCAACAGTCCTATATTAGTGCAGTACTTGGATAATAATTTATATTATCTCGCCTGGAATATCTGAACTTGTGATGTCTCTGTAATTTAGTGTACAAACTCTGATTTTTTATACAACATTTTTGCAACCGAACCCTGTAATTATTTAAATAAGAGCCTAAGGGCTGCTTTTCCACTGGGTCGCAGCCACCAGAACTGTAAAATTGCATTGTGTCTTATAGAGCTCTTCACACAAGTGGGTCGCAGCGACCTAGCTATCAGGGCTGCGCGCACCGCTTGCTTTGTCTTCTGACTACCTTCAACAGGGTTCCACATTCTGGAAAGTCAGGGATAGTCATGGAAAAAGATTTTGGTATTTGAAAGTCATGCAAATAGGCAAAACGTCATGGAAATTCTCAATGATGGATGGATTGGAGGGGACTTTTCAATGCTCTAGTCGGGCGTAACCCCAACTATTTTAGCATTTTTCAGGGTTTTTCACAAATGTACGACAATTCAATTTATTGCAACTGTATTGGCTCAATAGGTACAAACAGGTCCCTACTTTATCTTATAATTTAATTAATATTTTTGTAGGATATTGTTGCAACGGTAGTGTATACTAAAATGTTACAACTTTATTATTACAACTCAAATAGCAATATAGCACAAATATTATTACAATGTTTTGAGTTGTCTTAGTTCGTGAGAAGTTTGTGAGTCATGGAAATCAATGGTAATTGGTCATGGATAGTCATGGAAATTAATAAAAAAATTTTTGTGGACACCCGTGTTCAACTTGTGACTCCCACTTGTTTGAAGCTGCACACAAGCCTGTGATACTTTCTTGGTTTGCGGCTGTTTATTTTGAGCTATAACATTAGCTATATTATTAGAGCTTTCTTTGGTTTACAATTAATTGCTTGTTAACGGTGATATGAAAGAATAGGGTACCTAATAAATTTCTTGATAATAATGAATGTTTGTCATTAGTAGGTAGGCCTGTAAACCAAAGAAGAAAGCAACAATTTGATTCCGAATCATGCAACATGAAACCGAGTACCTTTTTAGCGAGAAGGTCTCAGCCAGTTGGTGGCAGCCAACATGTGTAAAGGGACAAGCGTGGCTGCGACCCTAGTGGGAAGGCGGCCTAATATGTTTCTTTACCTAAGAAAATACTTAAAAGCTTACTTAAAAACATCTTTGGTGTGCTAGATTCTGATCTACCATTTGTTCATCTAACATACCTACCTGATTTATTAGCCGTACTGTTGTGATAGTTGATTGATTTTAATGTTTTCTGCTGACCAACTTTACAGTTATTAAATACTCCTGTATTTGACATTTTGGCCTCTAATCCCGTTATAAAAAAAAATGCACTAATCTAAATTTTAAAAATCCTCATAATGCATCGCTCTCGTTGTTCACTCTGCAGTAGTATTAATTCAACTTATTTAATTTCATAAATGTGAAAGTATGTGTCTAAAAATGAAGTGAAATAATTAAATTTAAATAATAGTCTAATAAGAAAAAATGTCTCGGAACATAAGTTTAAATAAAAGTTTTAAAATGTACAATGTCTCAAATTGATTACAGTTTTGTACCTATTTATAGCCTCATAGAAATTTGTTTCCAGGATTTTCTGCTGAACAAATACTCAGTCATTATCCTAGATGAAGCCCACGAGCGCAGCGTGTACACAGACATTCTGATTGGTCTGCTATCTCGGATTGTACCTGTTAGGAACAAGCGAGGGAACCCTCTCAAACTTATAATCATGTCTGCCACTCTTCGACTTACTGACTTCACGGAAAACACTCGACTCTTCAAAACTCCCCCTCCAGTTATCAAGGTAAAGATTATTTTTTGACACAAAAACATTTTTTCGTCTCTTAACGATCTATTGTTTACACAAATATAACTAGGTAGTAATGTTTGACTTGTTGCTTACAAGTACAAATTTACAATTTTACCAATGCTGTGTAATTTAGGATCTGTACAGTTCCTAACAAATGAAATGTTTGTTGAAAAAAAGTTCAATGTTGGTTAGGTCATGTAAATTTATCTCTCTGAACACTATGAGTTAGAAAACATAAGCATAAAAAAAACGTCTACTCATAGAATCAGGGCCGGTTTAACCCATACGCGAACTACGCGGCCGCATATGGCGCCACGAAAAAGTGGCGCCAACAGAACAATTTTTTATTTATTTATTTATTTACGGCAGCGTACAGCGCGGCGCCTTTGGGTTTCATTTCATGACTCATGCTCGAGATAAGCAAGCGCGCAGCGCCCCACCACAACGACAACAAGAAACTTCTCCCTCCCTTCCCTCCCTTCTACTTCTGATAACTCTCCCCTGCTAGAGCAGAGCATTACATTGTATGTATTGTATTCTCTTTTAGTTGTATGTTGTATACGTACACCTGTTCTGAACCAGATTGATACCGACTCAGCAATTAAAAAATTTGCCAAGATCAAAGCTAGGAGAATTAATTTCTAACTGCTATAAGAGTTTTTGAACTGTTCAAATTGAACATTTTGTATTCTTTTTGTCAAGGTAATAGATTTAGTTTTCTACATGTTTAATGTGTTCAATTAAAAATTCCTATCTTGTCATCTACTTACACCTGTTTTTCATTGTAATAGGCTTTATAAAAACTTATATCGTATCCAAGTTATCCTGTAAAAATTGTTTTCACATTTAGAAATAAATTTTTAACTTAGGTCGTGATGCTCGTCAAGCATGTTGTCACGATAGACGACGGCAATGACGTAGGTATTTATTTATTTATTTTCCAAGGAAAGATTAAAACAAGCAGCTGATCACAAACGGTCCAAACATTACGTAATTGCCTTCTTCTATAGTAACGTCATGCTTGACGAGCATTACGGACTGTTTTTTTAGTGTGGCCTTGGTTTTGCTAAAGTTTATATGATGAGTAAAAGTGTAAAAATGTTAAATTTCTGGGAATAATAAACAGTCTTTTATTGCAAGTATTCTTCTAACCTAAACTTTAAAAAAATTTCTTCCCAAAATCGTTGGGAAAAAATTCACAAATATAGTTAAGCAATGTTCATGGGTTGTGGGGGGAGTGGGTGAGGTGGTAAGGGGGGATTCTAAGTGGCGCTGATTCGGGTGCTCGCTTAACTCTGAAAAATCCCTAGAACCGGCCCTGCATAGCATTCTTATATTACGGTTTGACTGAAAATAACACGCTTGCTAACTTTTCAGGTTGAATCACGACAGTTTCCTGTAACGATTCATTTCAACAAACAGACACCTCAAGACTATGTGAAGGAAGCTTATCGCAAGGCTTGTAAAATACACACTCAGCTGCCTGAAGGAGGGATACTCATATTTCTCACAGGTAAACAAATTAATGTTTTGTTAATCATATACTTGTGTGTCCGATTACATAAGCTACACAATACATATTGCCAGTGCACTAATATTAGATAAGGTAAACGGTAGTGATGGGTCGGTACCACTTTTTCAAAGCCGGTACCGGTTCCTAGCCAAAATCGATTCTTGGTTCTCGGTTCCAGTACCAAGGGTACCTTATTTTAATTTATAGGATAGGCTACTTTTTGTTCTAAAACAAAATATCCATACAGTATTTCAATTTCATAGTATTTTGCATTACTATAGGTTAGTACAAAACTGAAGGGATTAAGAAATTAAAACTAATTTCAATTTGTAAAAAAAAACACTAAAATACCCAAACACATTTAAATCAAAATAATATATAATGTAGCAGAAGTGTTAAAAATATTTGATGAATTGGTGATGTGTCGATACCAAAATTTATCGATTCTTTACCGATACCTGAAAAAACAATTCTCAATACCAATATCATATTTTAAATAGTTTTACCAAGTTCACTGAATGGATTGGTTATAGGCCTACTGGTATTTTTGAGGTAGGCTATTAGGGTGTTTTTCAAGTAAAAAATGTATGCAGCAATGAAACATTCTAACTAGCCAATTTCCAAGTGTAAACCCTTCTTATCACATCAAATAACTACCATATTTAAGGTACTATATAGAGGGGTATTCTGAGATCACTGCAAAATTAGAAACATCTTTCTCAATTACTGAAACATCATCACCCACCGTGTAGACATCATCATCATCTTCTACGATCACGGCAAAATCACGAACATCTCCTGTGGCCGTGTAGACAACAACATGAACTCCCGCGGTCACGGAAACGTCTTTGTCGTCGTCCATGATCACGGCAAAATCATGAACATCTCTTGCGGCCATGTAGACATCATCGTCGTCTCCTGGGATCGCGGTAACGTCATTGCCGTCATCCCCGATCGCGATCGCGGCAATATCATCTCCGCGGTCATGGAAACGTCATCTTCGTCTTGGTCGATCGCGGCAATATTGGTAATTTTTCGGAATTATCGGTACCTACCGATGTTTCACCATCGGTTCCGGTTCTTTTGCCAAGAACCGGCGGAATCGACATTTGACGTGAAGTACCGAACCATCACTAGTAAATAGCTATTCAAAAGAAACTAATGATTACCAGCCTAAACTCTCTCTTAAATTCATACAATAAGAATATATCTTTCAGCTCTTCACTTACTTGGGACATAGCAATTACGGACACACGAAAAAAGGTTTTTGCCTCCATACATTCATTGAAAAGATTACAGAATTTTTTACCACAACACACTAAACTACATTTGATCAAATCACTTGTACTACCCCACTTCATTTACTGCAACTCATTGATCAATGACATGACTGTGATTCAGGCGGGTATGCTTCAGTGGTCACAGAATTATTGTTTGAGATCTATGGTCTGCGACGTATGGAGCATATCACTCCATACTACCTTGAGGCACACATCCTGAAATTAAATGATCAACTATTCATTAAAATTTTGACATTGGTTTTTTCAATTTTGAAAACAGGCTCCCCAAAATATTTCAAATCCGATTTTAAATTTGTGTCTCAGGAGTCAGGGTAGTTCACGAATGTCTCGTTATTCTTCGATCACATTGCGTATACCTCATCACGTGACCACAGCTTATGGCAGGGCTTTTGTTGTTACCGCTTGTCGTCTGTGAAACGGCCTACCCCTGCACATTAAGACACTTAAAAAACGTTCCCAGTTTGTGGCTGCACTGAAAAAGCTCTATTTTGAGAAGATGGTCTCGGCTAGCGTGTCCTAGGGCTATTTCTTTGCGCGTTTGCTGATGCGTGTATCCAAGAGTGTGTAAATGTGTTTTTCTATCAATATTTTTACCTTTTTGGTAGCCTAAGGTGTTCAAAATTACTTATCTCCTGCGAGACGCGTTTCGCATTAATTACAATGCATCTTCAGTCCCTGTCACAGGTCTCAACAATGCCCATATAAGTGGTTGTCACAATTTATAAAACATATTAACACAACCGTACAGTTCACGAAACACATACGTATATACAATTTTTCGACCATGGTCACACACGTACTGTACATCAAGCGAGCGGGAGAAGACACGCGAACCACCACACACACAGATCACACATCACAGGTCACGTTGAGACCTGTGACAGCGACTGAAGATGCATTGTAATTAATGCGAAACACGTCTCGCAGGATATAAGTAATTTTGGACACCTTAAACTACCAAAAAGGTAAAAATATTGATAATAAATAGGTGTCTAGGCTAATATCTACAAAAAAAAAGTGTTTTTTTTTACTGTTTTGTTAAATTTGTATGTTTTTCTTCTTTTTTTTCTGAGAAATGTAGGTACTTGAATTAATTGTTAAATATTTTATGTTTAATTAGATTTTGTTTTCCCAATGTAATATTATTTTTGTTATATTTTTGAATGTCAGGTTAAGTGTAAGAAAGGGCAATGTGGCCCTAACTTTGCCTGAAAAAATAAACGATTTTCATTTCATTTCATACGCACACTGATGAAATATTTCCTCGGTAAATATTGATCCAAATTTGACATTTTATTTATCTAAAATATCGTACTAGTGTTTAGTATAAATGCTTCATTTCTAAAAAAATTACCCCAAAGAGCTCAAGTTCCTCAGTTTTGCTATGATACACCCTTGGTAGATAGTGCCTTTACGATAACCTTGTAGTCTTCATTCATGTGTCTTACATTGTTTTTTTAACATTTTGTCTCGTAGCTGGCTGTTTAGTATGTGTTTGGTTAATGATGTATTTTACTAAAACCCATACAGGTTATGTAAGGCATGTACTTTTGAAATTCTGACTCATTGGTTATGTTTCCAAAAGTTATAAAAAACCTTTTATGTAGTTATGAATTATTATTTGAATTTATATTTTAAGGTCAACAAGAAGTGAACCTTGTGGTTAAAAAGTTGAGGAAAGCTTTTCCGCTGCGGTCTCAAAAGCAGAATAATCTGGTCAGTGACAAAACAGAGGAAAAAGACAAGGAAGATGTTGAAGAGGATGAGGTTGATGAAGATTTGAAAGATGCTATGAAAAAAGCAAAGCAATCAAAACGGAAACTAAAGAAATCTCCTGCTCCTTTGCCAGTGATTAATTTAGACAAGTAAGTGCTCCTAACCATTTTTAAGATTGGACACTCGGCAACAAAATGAAATACATGAGAAAAGGATGAATTCATATTTTACAGGTTTTAAGTTGCATCTGAATTTAATGTACCTGGTACCGTACTTTCATAGGTTTGCAATTTAAATGCTCATTAAGTCATTATAAAGACCAAACTTCTTCAGAATTTCAATAATATTACCTCATAATTTTGTCTGTCAATAGTATTAAATCTCACAGATTAATGTTCCAGCTATGAACTGAACCCTCAGGACGACACAGAGGGAGACATGTTGGATGATGGCTCTGAAGCAGAAGAAGGGTGGGAGGAGGAGGAGACGTTCACTACAGTACAACCACTCTGGGTCTTGCCTTTGTTCTCCTTGCTGCCCAGTCACAAACAGGCCAAGGTAAGTTTACTCCCTTATCAGGCACATTTTGATAATTAGACCTTTTATGGTGATTCTCTACTACTATATTTTAATTTAAGCTCTATGAACAAAAAAAAATCTTAAGTTTAAGTTATTCCTCTTTTCTATGGTCGGGGTTTCCTCCTCGTGGGGAAACAGCAGGTGGGGGCGGGGGTAGGTGCATTGTCCATTGTTGACAAGCCATTTACGCTCCTGTCATCATCTCGTAGTTGCTCTTGTTTGTCTTTAACAACTTTTAAATACATCGAGCTGACATCCACAAAGGGTCTTGAAAGTGGCTTGCCTTCGATCGCCATGATAAGCGACTCCCCCGTATTTTGTTTCCTCCAATCAGTCTCCTTGTATAGAATTATAGATGAATCCAACCAACAATATGATTTGTTTCTAAAACGCGATAGCATATCTTTGAGTCATACTTATCTTTGTTTTTAACTTTAGACCTCGCCTAAAAGCATGTCATGTTGAAACAGAAAACAGTACCATTTAATTACCTAAGACAAGGGGTAATTTATTTTATTATAAATATGTGGTTGGGTAAATTCATTGGATCCTTTTTTAGATTAAATAAAATATGATCGGCCATAGCCTGATTTCATGAATATCATTTTGCAGGTTTTTGAGCCCCCACCAGAGGGTTGTAGACTTTGCGTGGTTGCGACCAACGTTGCTGAGACTTCCCTGACCATCCCTAATGTGAAGTACGTCGTGGACTGCGGCAAAGTCAAGACACGGCTGTACGACGCTCACACTGGCGTGTCTACCTTTGATGTGCTCTGGACCAGCAAAGCGTCGGCCAATCAGAGAGCGGGAAGAGCTGGGCGAACAAGTGCTGGTCATTGTTATAGGTGGGTGACAATTACAACTTTGTATTTCACTACCCTCTGATGACTGTGTTTCTGATGTACTTGTGTGTCATTTCAATTTCACATACTGTGAAGATATTGAATTTTTGAGTGAAAGTGTCAAGTTTATTCTGGTTTTGGTAGAGAGTAATTCATTGTGACAAAAGGTTTTAAAATTAAAACTATTCCATCTACTTTATGTATCATTGTGGGAGGGATGAGGGAAAGGCTCCAAACAACATTGATAGTGACACTACTAGACGCTTGTGGTATTAAACTAATCCAATGGCAATTGATTGTTGAGTTGGCTGTAGAAATATCAAAAGCAGTGGTGGGGGTTCTTGGTTCTTGTGTGCATGCACATCCCACTTGCCTTTACTAATTGACACAAACTAAACCTGAACATAAAAAGTTGTTTGATGATGACGTCAAAGAAATAAACACCAAATTTACACTTGCAGACTGTACTCCTCGGCTGTGTTCAATGATGAGTTTTGTGAGTGGGCTGTGCCGGAAATGCAGCGTCGGCCTGTAGATGAGTTACTGCTGCAGATGAAGTCTCTCGGCATTGATAGAGTGGTCAACTTCCCCTTCCCCTCCCCCCCAGACGTCACGCAGCTACGGACTGCTGAACACAGGCTGACACTGCTTGGGGCGCTGCAGCCGCCCAAGAAAAAAGGTGGGAATGGATAATGTGAATGGGTAAAGTGGCTTAGTAGTCTCTAACACGTCCGGCCCACATCATAACTAGGTAATGCTGAAAAGTGGAGGTACTAAATAGCAATTAGGGAAATGGTACTGTAAAATTTGAGGATACATCGATCATGGAAAATGTGAACATTTACCTCAGTCTGAGAACATAAAAATCACCTCCTGTGTTTGTAGCAAAATCTTGAGTTTTTTGTGCAATTTCCACATAGGCTTATGCTTTTTCCAATCACAATAATATCACAAAAATAAAAGCTTGGCTCATTTTCCAACTTTTCTGGCTCGGTCCAGCTTATAAATCAAGTCACTCAGACTACAACTTTCACTAACATTCACAAATGCAACTTAACCGCAAAGTGAGGCAACTAACCTGGACAATACAAAGGCACAATGACTTGTGGAAATTGCTATAAATAGACAAACAAATGTATTACTATACATACCACTCCCAGATTACTTAACGGCCTTGCTAGCCCACAGCAAGATTAAAAACAGAATATATTTAATACAATTTTGAGTATGTAGCATCAGGTGTCTTGCCAATCAAAGCTAGCCTCTAAAACATTAACCTTTCAAAGTAAACTTACTGCTAATAATTTACAACACATTTTTTTCAAGTCATTGACTATGTTGCTCTGTAAATTATAAAAAAAATCAAGTTATTATTACAGATAATTCTTTGTTACAGATGCTTGCAGTTCCAAGTTGACCCCTCTGGGACAGACCATGTCTATGTTCCCTGTGGCTCCAAGGTTAGTGTTGTTTTCTTCTACTATCTTATAACTAGTAGCTTTTCCTGTGCTTTGCAACCCCTTATTACCACAGAGTAAAAACATTTTTTCTTCAAAGCTACCCGAATCGTAGAAAAATCTCTAGAAAAACAATGACAGAGACTTTATTTATATAAAAGAAAAATTATAAAGACAGATTTTTCTGTTATTTTATGGCCTTCGCTGGGCTATTTCCATAATTTGAGAAGTGTTTTGTGTGATTTTGTTGTAATCAATATCTTTATTCTGTTAATTTTGGACCTCTATTACTTATAATATTTATCTTTTAATGGGGTTTCCACTGCAGGTTTGCCAAGATGCTGTGTCTGAGTCACCAGTCAGGTCTACTTGGTTACACATTGGCTATTGTGGCTGCATTGTCCGTTCAGGAGTTTCTACTCTCTGGGGACAAACACTGGCTGAAATTACGACGACAATGGGCCGGAATGGGGAACTCATTGTTGCTTGGTATGTTTATTTATAATTTTTCCTTAGAGGTCCCTAGATGCTTAAATTATAGTTAGATTTTTTGCACTCCCCAATAAGTTAATTCCCTGAGGCAATCCTTGTTTAGGTACCTAAGGAAATCTACCAATCAGCTTCCTGATGTAAACAAATTGCCAAAGGTTTTTGTTCTTAACCACATTGAGCTCTTTTCTTGTGGTGAAGCAGATGATCTGTCTCCTTTGACACTGAATGAGTCTCCGTCATACAACACATGAGCTTCATACGCTTTGTAACAACCCATGAATGAAAATAAAAATACATTTTCATTGAGGCAAATATAAGGATCACAGGGCTCTTTCTTAGAAACCAAATTGTTCATCCAGAGATACAAGATCTGGACTCATTCTAATAAATTGAGCTTGATAATGAGACAGTACGGTATCAAATGCTTTGCTAAAAAATTTTTCCCTATATTTCATCTCAATAAAAATAGGAAGATTATTTCATGCGGATGTTTACGATCTCATGTCCAGGTGATGTGATGGTGCTGCTGAGAGCAGTAGGAGCTGCCGAATACGCCAACTCCAACAGTCATCTGGAGAGGTTCTGTACCTTGCATGGTCTGAGACACAAAGCTGTGGTAGAGTGTCGTAAGTTACGACTACAGTTGACCAATCAGCTGAATCTACAGTTGCCGGGGTTGTCTCTTGTGGTGGATCCTAAGATGATTCCTCCCACCGATACACAGGTTAGTCTACCATCAGACAATGGACCTATGTCTCATGTGAGAATATATTATAAAGTTATTAGTATTTTTAGTGAGGATAGCAGGCTTACCTGAATAGGAAAGAGTCCAAACTGCCACAAGAAACATAAAACGTTACACTAAGAATAATATTGACTAAGATAAGAAAAATAATAAAAAATTGTCTATCAAAAACTTTAACAGACACAAGCTTGCTATCTCTAAACTAAACTCTTTTTGACCAGGGCTTGAAACATGCTGTTTTTTAACTGATTAGATTCATAGGCCTAATAAGTAAAAGTTTCCAGAACAAATCTGGAGCATTCATATTCAGTCTAGTTAGGACTGTTTTCTCTTCTTTGCGTATCATATTTTTAAAGCACATGTATTAATTGCAGTTTTTGTTTTAAGGCAAGACAACTACGACAGATAGTGCTGGCAGGTATGGTGGACCAAGTTGCCCTCAAACTGACAGATGAAGAACTGACTTCCAGAGGACTACGCAAGGGCAAACCTGTCTACCAAACACCCGAGATGGAAGAGGTTTGAAACGGTTCCATGTTATATTTTCAGTATAAAAGTAAAAAAATAATGTTTGTTGAAATGTGGAATAATGATGTTGTTGGGGTTGGTGCTTAAAAAATAATATTGTTGCTTACTTGGCTGATTCATTGTGGTATAAAAATGTTACCAACTTTTTGACAGTTACATACCCAAAATGAAAGCTAAAATTTATTTGTCAGGTTTTATTTGAAAGAGATCCATGTAGTTACATAGCTACAATAATTTAGTGGGTAGTGTGACAAAATAATTCATCACCACATACAGTAGAACCTCGGTTAACCGAGCCTCGCTTAACCGAGACTCCGGGTTAACCGAGGCCGTCTCGAACGATTTTTTTTATTTAAAAAGCAAAAGAAACACGCACAAACTACGTACAGTAATGAGCGTTTGGGTGCTCCTTTTATCGCAATACGCACGCTAGCCTGCAATGCGTTAAAACTACTGTACAGTAAAATGTTGGCAACTGTTGTGTTTCCTCGGCCAAATATTTGCCTAGCTTAGCGCTTATCTTTGCCGAATGCATACGGCACTGTCACCCGACACCGCTCGCCAGAGCAGCTGCAGGTGTTGTAACCCGCCGGACCAATGCGAACTGTTTCAATGCCGAGACGCGACTGAGACACTCGCTCTCCCCACCACCCCGATTCGACAAAAGTTTTTTTTTACAGCGATGAATCTGATGGGGCGACTGAGAAAATATCACATACAGAAGGTCTAAGAATGATCGAGGGAGCACTGGCATCACTGAGCTATAATTCTAACTGGAGGTAGCACTGAATGTCAAAGATGCGTGTCGCCAGCCGCCATGTTTGCGTGAGGTGTGAGTTAAAATGAAGCCATGTTATTGGATGAAAAAACTCACTGCTATGCAAACCTAGTTATAGAAGCCATGTTATTGGATGAAAAAACCTGCTGCTATACCAACCTAACAAAATCAGCGACACGCTTTTGACAGACTTCTGCAATGGCAGTGCTACCTCCAGTTATAATTTTAGCTCAGTGACTGGCATACATTGAACAACAAGAAACCGCAACAACAAACGATTTAGTTTGGCTGCGACGCTGGCGCAACAGGGCGGCTAGCCTAAGATCCTCTAATCTAAGTCAAAAAACAATAACTGATTTCTTTGGGAAAAAAGATTAGCTTACTTTGTTTATTTTTGTACAATGTACAGTAAATTAATTTTCATTTCTTTGATTTAATTTTGTAAACAGGAATACTGTACTGTAACTAAACTTCTGTACATTGTGTAGCCTATATCATACGTATTCAGTTGTGCAATAAATTGAGTGTTATATTAAAACAGTGTTTAGTATTGTGAGTGTTACCGTTTCCTCTCACGTTTTATTGCGTACTAATAACATTTCTTGTACTAATAAACTAAACAACAGTTCAGTTAATAACTTTTGTTCATGTTTTAGTATATCTTGAGCTATTTTTAGCCCCGGTAACGATTTTTAGGTTACGTTCCGTGTTATCCGAGGTTCGCCGTATCCGAGGTACCCTCGGTCCCAATTACCTCGGTTAACCGAGGTTCTACTGTACACACATTTTAGAATGTAACTGTTGAAATTTGGGGCAAATGTCTCTCTTGTTTACGAATTCATGCACTTGAAAGAGAATTGATGATTACCATTATAGTAAAAACAAAATATTTTGTTATAACAAATATTTTAAAAAGACAATACCATTACTAATTACTGAAACACTCATGTGATCTCTGTAGGTTGTGCACATGCCGTCAACCTCTGCATTATACAAGGCTGCTCCAGAATGGATTGTTTACCAGGAAATATTCCAGACAGACAAGATGTACTTCAGAGGTGTGTTTTAGAGCTGGAGATAATCTATAGCGTAGATTGAACATATTTCCTTACATCTTGATGGTGTTAACGCACAAGGGATTTTAAGGGTTGTTGGGATAGCAGACTTACCTTGATTTGGAAAAACGTCCATCTTGACACAAGGAACACTACACACCGTTACTGATATGTGCTAATTCGTATTATATAAACCCAAAATGTTTTTGTTGCTCGTTTTTGTAAACTGATCTCTTTACTAAATGATTGTACACTAGTAATGTATCCAGATTTTAAATTGCAAGGATGTCACCATAGAGTGCAAAATCCAAGGTTACGTATTTTTTGGCGTACTTGAAAAATCTTTACAGCTCAAAGTTGATGATTTGATTACAAATGATGAGGAGGAAATGAGGATGAGGACATCTCTCTTATCTACCCAAACCTTATTGAGTGATCTGTCTGTGTCAGTAAAAGGATCATCTTCAAATGGTCCAAAGTCGTTTGGTCCACAGTTTATATTGCCGTTCGTTTGGTCCAAAATCGTTTGGTCCAACAGTTAAAAACTCGTTCGTTTGGTCCAAAATCGTTTTATCCAATTTCATTTGGTCCAAAGTCGTTTGGTCCACAGTTTATATTGCCGTTCGTTTGGTCCAAAATCGTTTGGTCCAACAGTTAAAAACTCGTTCGTTTGGTCCAAAATCGTTTGGTCCAACAGTTAAAAACACGTTCGTTTGGTCCAAAATCGTTTGGTCCAAAAGTACAGGCCAAACTAGAAGTAAAATGTTGCATTGTAGAGTAAACTTATGAAATATACTGTACGTTTATATTGCCGTTCATTTGGTCCAAAATCGTTTGGTCCAACAGTTGTAAAACAGTTCGTTTGGTCCAAAATCGTTTGGTCCAACACATTAATACGAGTTCGTTTGGTCCAAAGTATAAACTATTGCGTCCCTCACATTGAAGGCGTTCAAATATCCGCCGTCGTATACAATAATAATATTAATACAATTTTTGCTTTAAACATGTTGACTTTCTATGTTTTTAACGTTAAAGACACCATGTTTTGTTGTATTCAAACCACTAAAGCGTACATAAACAAACTTAAAGCTCAATAGTGTATCATACGGTTGGAAATCTTATAAATTAACAGTTTTTATCACATTTGGCGACCTTCTAATATACAGGGTGTTCAGTGGACCAACATGTTTTAAATGTTTATCATACACCTTAATTTGTATTGTTGTACCGGTACCTATTTACAATGGAGTGTTTACTATTGATCATGGTTGTCTATAATTCTTAATCAAAAGGTTAAAATAGAACATGAAAATTACATTAATTAGCCTACTCATATTTTCTGGACGTCCACAATTTCCTGGTAAAAATTTTGTCTTACAGAATTATATATAAGGATCTTATTTTCTTATTTTAAAATTGATGTTCTTCTGTATAATGTCATGTTTAACAATATAACGTTCCATTACGAACAGTTATATAATCTTAATATTACAGTAATTCTTTCAATCATTTCTTATTGCATTATGTTATATCTATTGTACCGGTTGGTGTCTGCCTTTTTGACTACTTTTGCCGATATTTTGTCTTATTATTCAATACTGACAGATCATCACGAGATTATTGTTATACATGTGTATTTAATCATTGGACAATTTCCCATTATGTAATACGATACAGAATAATAAAAGTGCAGAAGGCTTTTACAGTCTATGAAAATGAATGTTAAATAGGCTACTTTTATTTATCATAGACATATCATTAAGGTACATCAATTATAAGTCTACTCTTTGTGATATGCATAATTGTCTGAGACAAACATTCAGGCACGTTGCCCATATTTTTTTTTTAAATAATAGTGGTTTTCAGTAACTGGATTAAATTTTTAATAATTTTATGAATAAATGCATGATAAGTTATAGAAAGTTATTAATCCCAAATTCCAGTTTATTACATACTTTTAGAGAGTTTACTTTGATGCATTCATTCAGCTTAGTGAAAGAATACACAATGGAGTCAGTGAATGTTATTCAACTAAAGAAGTGATGCGCATGTTTACTGGCGCTACTCAGCAACAAAAATCATTGATCTCTCAAAGTTACTTACCCAGATGGTGACATCAAAAAGGCCAAAACTCCATACTATAAACAGTTTCTCAGACCAGAGTCAATTTAATGTGCTTGAATTGTGGCATTTATTAATTCGGCTTATATTTCTCGTAACCAACAGATTGTTCATCTACAGAAGAAGTTCATTGTGTTCTTATCGTGTCTAATAACATCCAAACACAGAAACCTTAAATTACAGTAGTACCTATATCTTGACAGATGGTTTGCAGTAGCATCTGAGCCAGCAGAGCCACTGGGGCGGAGCCCGAAAGGATTTTTGGGATAATAATATGCTTTAATTTTAATCGGGAATGTGAGCTATCATCATGCAAAATTTAAGCCCAATCCGTCCAGTAGTTTATGCGTGATTGAGCAACACACACACACACAAACACACACACAAACTCACAAACTTTCAGATTTATAATATTAGTAAGATTAAAAAATAAACCATCTGTTTAACATTAAATGCAAACTCAAAGCAAAGTCAATATTTATCCACAAATCTAGGGAATTAAAACGCGTTGTTTTAAGATTGACTGGGGATAAAAAGTAAACATTACACAAACACATTATATATAAATAAATATATGTATATGTACGTGTATAGAAATGCAAACATATCAATTATTTAGAAACATATCACAAAACAACAAATAATAGGCCTCGGAAGGCAGGCGGTTGGGTTGACGACGTAACGGCGATTATTTGAACACCTTCTATGTGAGGGACGCAATAGTTCATACTTTTGGACCAAACGAACTCGTAATAGAGTGTTGAATAAAACGACCCGATCGAATGGTCCACAGTGAAACGTACAGTCTATTTCATAAGTTTACTCCACAATACACAATTGTAACTCTGGTTTTGCCTGTACTTTTGGACCAAACGATTTTGGACCAAACGATTTTGGACCAAACGAACTGTTTTAAAACTTGTGGACCAAACGATTTTGGACCAAACGAACTGTTTTAAAACTTGTGGACCAAACGATTTTGGACCAAACAAACTGTTTTACAACTTGTGGACCAAACGATTTTGGACCAAATGAAATACTCCCCAACTGGATCATAAAACGATTTTGGACCAAACGAACTGTTTTAAAACTTGTGGACCAAACGATTTTGGACCAAACGAACTGTTTTACAACTTGTGGACCAAACGATTTTGGACCAAATGAAATACTCCCCAGTAAAATATCAAAATAGTATTTGATTATACATATTGTAAAGATTTTGTGTTTTTTTTTGTGTCAGAGTGGACTTGAGCCAATTCAGATAAGATTGTAAGGCTGACAAAAATTCTCAACATCGAAGTTGTTAATAACCTAACCTAACTTTATTAGATGTTAATTTCTTAGGTTAAGGATGTAACTTGAGCACAAGGGCCTTTGTTTGAGATATTTTGTTCAATTAAATGAAATGAAAGTGAAAAATTAGCAGGCTTACCTGAATGGGAATGAATGCACTCCAACACAAATTTACACTTTTAAAACACATCTTCGTCACACACTACATTAAGTGCCAATATCGGCCTAAACAATGTTGATATTATAAGATTTAATTATTAAGTTTTACTGCTGTATGTTCTGACCAGTAATAACAGTTTATTAACCACTCCAATGATTTGTTTAATAGGAGTGACAGCTATAGAGCCTGAATGGCTGCCGGTGTTTGCACCGACTTTATGTAACTTGTCGTCTCCGCTCACCGAACCTCCGCCCAGATACAACGAGGACACTGGCGTGGTCTATTGTCACTTCTCTGGCTCGTTTGGTGAGTGAATACTTTCTAATGATGCCCTCAAGAGTGTTAAGCTTGTACAGTTCTCCCTTTTTTGTCATAACCCTCTCAGGAAATGTTGAAATACGGTAGTGCTTGTTTTTACTATTATATGAATGAAAAACTAAGGTGCAATTAATTTGGTATTATCTTTTTACAAAAATATACTTTACTCAAGTAAAAATGAAAGAATTTTTGAAAAGTGATCATGAACATGTACATATAAAGTTCACTATTGATTATCCTAGCCCTCAGGTTATCCAGGGTCATTTTAGGCCTAAATATATAATTTTTTTTTTTTTTTGCCGGAAGCCTAAAATTAATTACCAGTACGTTATTAACGTATGATTCTATTTAAAGAAAAAATATTCAATTTGTGATTTGTTAAAATTAATGCTTAATAACCGTTGGCAAGCTGGACGAGCCCTCTGCAGAAAGTGAACAATAGCAGTGGCATTTCCGCTCTGGCTCTACTGGCTTGCATCGCCTTTTATCAGTCATTGTCGTTGCGATGTTTTGATGTTGATGTTGACTTGATAGTGTCATGTAGAGTATGGCTCCAAGGTCAAACTCAAACGCCTTTTTGTGTTTTTTTAAAACAGTACTGTGTCAATACTGTCAAATTGCTCAAAACTGTATTTTATTTTGATCAATAATTTCAGGCAAGAGGGGTTGGCCACTGCCGGTGACCGAGCTTGAATTTCCAGAAGGTCTTGATCGCTACAAGTGGTTCGCTGTCTTCTTTCTCAACGGATCTGTTTGTCCAAAACTCAAAAAGTACTCCAAAAATCTCCTCTCCACGCCTCAGACCATGGTCAAGTCCTGGGCAGGGTGAGTTGAGATGATTTTTTTAGTCCATTTTAAGCCAAAATGAGAATTTATTTAACATAATGAATTCTACTGTTTAGGTAATGCACTTTAATGTAGTTTTTACTTGGTTGAAAAACAATAAATAATATGTGAAAATGTCAATTATATTTGGTTTTGATACCTACCTTTCTTTGAGGATTCATTAACTATGAAATGTTTAGGAGTTATTATAAACTAGCTGTGTACCCGTTCTACGCACGGGATCTTATCGTAGTCAGTTGAAACCTTCTTATATTAAGAACAGCAGTTGGTTTGCATATTTTCAGATATGCTGGCAAAACTATATATCTATAAACCTTCGCAAATACAGTATCTGACAGTTTCAAGCCAAAACAAATGCTTCGCAATTAAATGTCACCCGGATGCTTTATAGATTTATGAGGCATAGCCCTAAGGTAGGCCTATATTTAAAAGTTACTTTCTACAATGGTTAAAATTATTTAATGTACTACCTCAACCTCACTATTACCTTATAAAAACAACTTATTGTTATTTAATAGATTATGTATTCTCTAAACAATAATTGGTATAGGCAATAACAATAATATAGGCAAACAATAATTGGTATTAACATTAGAAGGAAATGTGGCAAAAATCACACAACGTTGGGTTTTTGGACGTTTGTAATTTTATTTCTTAAGTAGGTAGGCCGTGTATTTTAGGGAAAAGTACCGGTATCAAGGATCGTCATCGAAAAGGTTCTTATGAATAAATGGTTAGGCGTACATACCCAAGAGAAGGGCTATGGGCCTATTGGCTCTATGGTCCAGCGATTGCATCACACCCACACGGTGAGTAGGAACTATATAGTCAATGGTAAGAACAGAAAGTGACATATTGGAAAAGCGAGTTTAGCATCATACGTAAACCTCTGTTACAATCACCCACTGCAGTTGTGATTTTTTACTTTACACTTTACACAACCACCGTCAATGAGTGGACACGTTGTTTCTAAGCTATTGGCGGTGATCATTATTAAATTTAAGTTTCCCAGCCGTATACAACACTGATTCAAGGTCTTCTTTCTGGTTATCAAAACTCAAGAACAATTTCATACACAAAGAATCTCTGGTTCCTGACCTGGATAATGCCTAGTCATTTAATTTCAATTACAGTTACACTATTACACTATATTATTGCACTTGCGATTAATTAAATCCGTTCTGTAAGAAAAATGTTTTTAAACTCACTTGGTTGGGATTTGCCTTCAAAACGTGATTGAAAATGGTTGCGGTATTTGTAAACAACATTTGTAAACATATCAGTGACAGCTATAAAAAATAATCTTGATCCGAACAGCTGTTCGTTATTTCATAGATGATTATGCGATAAAAATTGGACGAAAACTTGACAAAAATCGCACAAAACTGCATTTTTGAACGTCCGTAATTGTATTTACAAAGTAGTGTGGCCATATTTTATGGCTAAAGACACTCTCGCCAATCCAGTGAATACATTAAAATGACTTGGATCTTGATAGGTACTCTCGTTTTCCTGGAGAAGATAGCGTAAAATGCCATCTTGAGTGTTGCAGACAGACAGAAAGACAGACAGACAGAAATAGAGATAAGACTCGTTTCTGCTTCTTTAATGTATAAAACGTAAAAATAACCTAAAAATATATAATTCTGAGCAATGTACAGACAAAACTCTATTTTTATTTATATAGATTCTGAACACATTTTAAGGAAAAGCTGTGTAGCCACTCAATGAGTTCTTTTGGAAACTTGAGTTCAGCTAAATTGGCTGGGAAAATAAGACATAAAGAATTACAATGGTTTAGAATCTTTACAAAATGTCTTTAATCTACCAAAGACATCTTAGACCAGGATGAAATGTCCTTTTTACTTTGTGTGACTTTCTTAGAGTTTCTATTATACCCTGGACTCTAATTTTGTGACCTATCTGAACTTAACTCCTTTCCAATAATAACTCCATAAATGTTACTTGTTATTTATTTTAAAAAAATAATCCCTGGCTATTGAAAACAATCAAAATGCAAGTGAGTTTTAAAAATAAAGCTATGTTTAATTATTCTTATTTTTAAGCACTGTCTCACACAAACATAATTTACAGATTACAACCAAGGACTGAGATTTTATTGAAGACACTTGTTGCTGCCCAAGTAGATTCAAAGTCGTCTCTACTTGAAAAATGGGAAGACGAACCAAAGTGTAAGTAATTTACTTCCTTTTAAGTTTTCAACAAGAATGTTTAGCAAACTCTTATCCGAATGCCAAACTCTTTTCCTACTTATTGATCAAACTTATCACTAAGCATAGAGTTTAGTAATTTTGACAACGTATGGATTGTTAGTGTTCATAAATATTTGTACTTTTCCCAGATCTCCTGAACGCTTATCAAAGTTGGCTCCCCGAGTCTGCCCACAATGAAGTTGCAGTTTTGTGGCCTCCTTTATAAAATCAAAACCACTCCTAGCCAATATACCTGTCTAGCTCTATCATACAAATGAGTTTTTAATCATGAGTTTTATCGGAGAATCTTTGTAATATATTTGTTAAAAGTGTTTACAAGTTTATTTTTGTGAATTTGTATAGATGTAAATACAGTTATATTTTGACTATTTGAAACGTTGGTGATTCATGTGTTTTATTATCCTTTTATCTGAACGAGGTTGGCAAGCCTGCTTGCCTGTTTGTGTCACGAGGAATTGTCGCTCCCGGTTAAATTTAACTTTCAGCCAATTTAACGTTGTGCAACTTATATATTTTTGTGGTTAAAAGTTAACTACTTGTGTTTTTAGTTGGTTTCTATGATCTTACACCCCTATGGACATTGTAAGTAGGATTCAATGTGGTTAATGTGTCACTAACCAACAAGGCTGAGAGGAAGGAGCTGACCAAACCTGATTGTCGACCGGCAAGCGATGATTCACTCACAGCGCTGCCAACTGTACGACTGTGACTAACCTCTGTCTGACGGCTGACCTATCCACCCTACTGTCACGCTGCTGGATTTTCGCAGCGCCTTCAATTGCCGTGATACTAATCTGGCTACACATCTGTTTGTGTCTAGTATTATTGACATTGAAGGAAGTAGTCCAAGTTGTTTTAAATTATTTTGACAATGGATGACAGTGGAGCATTAGTTTACGAGACATCAGAGTCAGCAAACGATTTTTATGAAACCAGTGTTCTTAATCTTACTACCGAAATTAATAAGATTGAAGCAAACTACCCGGAATTGTCGTTAGAAAATCTTTCCCTGCACATCTCAAAGTTGTTAGAAAACCTTGAACATTTAAATCATGACAGGGTTAAAACATCCAAAGATCTAGAACAAAGTATGACTGACATTCAAATCTTGTCATCAAAATTAAATATTGAAAAAGAACGTCGACAAGAAGAAGTTAATTGTTCCTTTAAAATTCAAGACGATGCTGCTGTAGAAGTTGACAAATTGAACTCGCGCATCGGGCTGTTGGAAGAGAGGCTCCGACAAAGAGACTCCGAAATATCGTCCCTCATGACCGAGAACAACTCTTTAAACGGAAAATTGACAGAATTGTCGAATAAAATAAAATCATTGGACTCTGACAACAAGAAACAATTAGACATTTTAATAGACTTTAAAGTTAAGAATAGTTTAGCCCAACAGGATATTCTTAGCTTAAACAAAATGTTAAAAGATAAATGGGTGGATGATAGCATAATTACTGATTACTTTCTGTCCTTGCAAAGTTATGTAATTGAAGGTCAATCCCTTTTTATCACCCCTGCTCTCTCACAGCTAATAAAGCTTGACAATCAAGATGTTATTACAGACATAACTAAATCTGTCGAGTACTCCAATTGTAAATATGTATTTATTCCTGTTAATAATAGCAATGATCTGGTCAATGGGGAATCAGGTTCTCACTGGTCTCTGTTGTTTATTGACAAATCTCAACAACACGCTTACCACTTGGATTCTCTTCCAGGGTCTAACAATAAGTGTGCGAAGACCGTTTCTCTCAATCTAAGTATACCATCTGAAAATGTATTTTCAGTCCCTTGCTTTAAACAGAGAAATGGCTTTGAGTGTGGAATCAATGTGTTGGTTCATGCTAAGACCATTTTGCACTATTATTGTTTAAATTTAGTAAATAAACCCTTTTTGGAATGGTTTGGTTGTCAGCTTGCACCATCTGATGTTATTAATCAAAACATACATCAACCTAAAGCTGAAAGTGGTATTGTATCTTATACATTAAATGAGGTAAAAAGTTCTACCAGTTCAAATGAATGTACAGGGGTAACAAACAATGGCAATAAGTTGTCTGTAAAGCTTAAGCGTAATAGTTCTGGTGATTGGGTAGTAAAAAAACACAAAAAAACTCGACTAAACAAACAACCAAAGGTACCTGAAACATGTTTTGAAAATCAAAATAAATTTAGCGTTCTTGCATCACTAGACAATGATCTTTCCCTGGAGTGTCAATCATCTCCTCCAAAAAAGACACCCACTCCTAGGGTGACTCCTGGAAAGACTGTCCCTCCAAAAAAAATGTATCTACCTCAAAAAAACCATTTCCATCCAAAACAAGCTCCATCGGGCAAACTCACGCTCATGTTCCGCTCCCTGTACCCTCAGCCCGTACCCTCCCAAAGCCAGTGTCGATTGTTGTGTGCTCAGATAGTCACGGGCGCCACATATCGAGGCTGCTAAGAGAAAATGTAAAATCAGAAAGTGTAATTACTGAGTGGGTAAAACCTAATGGTAAGATGGAAAACATTTTAGAAACTGTAAGAGCATATTCTTCAAATGTATGTGATTATGTCGTCATTATGGGAGGGACAAATAATATTGTAAACGAACGCTGCAGCTTAGATTTTGTCTTAGATTTGGAAACTACTCTTGGCAAAATGTCTAGTCAGAAAGTTATCCTCGTCGGTCTTCCTGCTAGACACGACAATCCCTCCCTCAATACATCTGTGAATAAAGTAAACTCTGATCTTCTTAGTCTTTCATCTAAATACAATAACGTCACTTTTCTGTCCTTAAGTTCCATCCCTCGTTTTGCATTCACCAGACATGGGCTACATCTGAATTTTAAGGGCAAGCATATGTTGGCAAACCTCTTGGCAGATTCAATGAACCTTTCTAAATGCTCTTTCCCCATCCAGACACCTTCTAATAGTCAACTCTATCCTAAGCCTCGGCTGAACCACGAATCAGTGACAGTCTCCAAACAAATAAAACCATATCCTGTACGTTCTTATATAGCTGAGCAAAGTAACAACCACAATACTCGAACATTTGTCTCCAAACATTTTTTAGGGGAGGCTCGGAAACCTGTGGGGGTTCCTTGGGCACACTTCCTCAGGGAAACCAGAGAAAGGATAAGGTGATTAACTGTCTCAAAATAGCACATCAGAATATTAGGAGTCTAATGCACAAAGTAGATCTGCTAGAAATATTTATTAAAGACGAAATTCCTGATATTCTGTGTTTGTCCGAACATTTCTTGAAAGAGCATGAGATAGAAAATTTAGTCTTAGGCAACTTGACTTATGTCTCTGCTTTTTGTAGAACCAAAATGAATGGGGGCGGTGTGGCAATATGGTGCTCTCCCGGTATAAAACACCGACCACTTGACTGTAAAGCGTTTAGTGTAGAAGGCGAGTGTGAACTTTCTGCAATGTCAGTAGAAGTTAGTAAAAAAAGTAAAATACTTGTTGTAGCAGGCTACAGACCACCGTCAGGTCACCATGATCACTTCTTTGAATTTATGAACGACTGTTTAAATGAATATGCAGCTAAGCACAACAAGGTTTTTGTTCTTGGAGACTTTAATATTGATCTATCTATTGACAGTTTTTCTGGTAGTAAATTTACTGCCATCATGGCGTCATTTGGTCTGTACAACACTATCCACTCGTATACAAGAGAAGCCTCAGGATCATGCACCTTAATTGATCATATATTTACAAACGATCATGATGGCACAAAGAGTGAAGTTATTAAGACTATACTGTCTGACCACAGTGCCCAGACTATAACAACGAACATAAATTTATCGAACAATGACAGGCAAGTCAAGTTTAAGTATGGACGGAGTTTTAATACCTCTAATATTGAAACGTTCAAATATTATCTAAAAAATGAAAAATGGGATGAGGTGTTCCAAGTGACAAAAACAGAGAATAAGTACAATGCTTTCATAAGCCAGTTTAAGTACTATTTTGAGATATGTTTTCCAGAAAAATTAAAAAGACATATAAAAAAATCCAATTCACACATTAAAATGTCTGACGAACTTAAAAACTTAAAGGAGCAATGTTTCATATACCACGAAAAAACTAAACATTTACATTCGAATCACTTTTTAAGACAATACTACTTTAGAATAAAAGATAGATTCAGGAGAATAATAAGAGAAGAGAAATCAAAGGCCGTATTAAATATCATCGAGGAATCCGACAATAGAACCAAAGGAATCTGGAAAGTTATAAATAATAACAGACGGAAAAAAGGTGAAAGGGGTATAGAAAGTATTAATTTAAAAACTAGTTTTGGTGGCATTGTTTCTGAACCCAAGGATGTTTGTGAGAAACTCAATCAATTCTTTATTAAAACGGTTGGAAGTCCGTTATGTGTCACAAACAACGTCCAAAACAATAGTATAGATAGAAATACAAGCTCTTTTTTCCTAAGACCAATTAATCCAGATGAAATAATAAAAATTATACAAAGCCTTAAGAGTAAAAGGTCTGCTGGAGTAGATGGGATATCACCAAAACTAATCAAGTCAATCTCAGACTTAATTTCAACACCGTTAAGTCACATAATAAATAGCTCGTTTGCCGAGGGAAAGTTTCCTAGCCAGCTAAAATTGTCTTTGGTAAGGCCAATCTTTAAGAGCGGAGATAGAAGTTCTTGCCATAACTACAGGCCTGTAAGTCTAGTTTCGACGTTCTCGAAGGTTTTTGAGAAAGCAGTAATTAGTAGGCTGTGCGATTTCCTAGAGAAACACAATATATTAGTTGGAAAACAGTACGGCTTTGTAAAGAATAGTTCCACAACAAAGGCCATACTCAGCCTCATAAATAAAGTAGTCAAAGACATTGATTCGGGACAGTCTGTGGCTGGCATGTTCATTGACTTGAGTCGTGCTTTTGACTTAGTTGACCATGGTCTACTTCTGGGAAAAATGCATGATGCTGGCATTAGAGGCATTGCTCTTGATTGGTTTACATCATACCTTAAAGGAAGAAAGCAGTATGTAGCAATCCCTGCCATCGATGAAACAGGTCTTCTAAAGTATCATCGTTCTGCTGACGCCTCAGTCACGAGAGGTGTGCCCCAGGGTTCCGTCCTCGGACCGACCTTATTCCTTCTATTTATAAACAACTTGCCCACTTGCGCAAACAAGGCAAACATTTGTCTGTTTGCCGATGATACATCTCTTACTGTATCCAGTCATTCTACAGAAACACTTGAGCAATCGATTTTTCTTGAATCTAATAGCCTGCTCCAATGGTGTGAGGATAATCATCTTGTCCTAAATGCAAAAAAAACCCAACTTCTCCAATTTAGCATTTCAAATCATCAAACAAACAAAAAGCAAGGAACATTTAGCTTACTGTTG